AATATTTTTATTATTCAAACAAAATCGAAAGTTTACGAAAGTTCTTTCTGGTATCATTTTTTTTGATCTGGGGTAGTAACTAAATAATTTATTATGATTTTATTATTATTATTGATTTTTTGTACAGAATAAATATTTAAGTTAAATATTTAAAATAATTATATGACATAATGTAACAGTCGATTATAACAGGTAGGTACACTATAACAGTATAACAGATATACTGTAGGTGATTTTCATCACTTACTTAGAAACTAAACGAATTATATACAAAAGCTACTTTTAGAGTGCTTTTATTTAGCTTTTAAAGCATTCACAGCGAAAATAAAGCGGTAGCTTGTAGTACTTTTAAAAAGGAAAAGAAAAATTTAATCATCCGACTCCATATTTTTGGCTTGCAAAATGAAAACAATGGCAGAGGTTAGCTAGCAAGCCACCAAACGAGGGGGTTCAAAAAGTGCAGTTTAAAGAATCCAAAAAAGCAGCAATACAATTTTAAATGCCCCCAGCGATACTCTATAGGAGGTTTTATCGACGTTCCTATTGTTTGCACGAAGATGAATCAAAGGGATTCTAACCTTCAACTCGTAAATCCATTTTATTCATGTCTAAATGGAAATGAATTTTAATTTGTTTTCTTTTTATGTCTTATTATGATTCATTATTTATGCGAATTAACCTTCAAATGAAAGGTTTTATAGGTAATTGACGTCAATTCATATAAGATTTTTTTTAATTTTTGAATAATTCTTTAAATATATTCACTTCGAGGGAGGAAATAGCTAGTAAGTACAATTTTCTTACATAATATGTATGACTAGTATAGTCTAGTCAACAAGTTCAAAAACGTGTTAAATAGATATAAAGCTCCTAAAAATATGTGCCATAGCTCATTCGATTCGGAATGACGTCTAGAAAAATGTTTTTTAAGGGCATATTAGCACATAAAAAATTGCAATTGTTATTAACAAAATAAGATAAAAAAAGGTATTTAGTTTTTCGTTAATAACTTTTAAAATAATGATATTTAAGGAATTATAAAAACAGAGATTGGAAAAAAATTAGTTAATTAACAATGGTGTAACTTTTTGAAAAATTGTCAAATAAATTTTTTTTCACCGAGGTTTTTTTCGTTCAAGTGTCTAGATTACACCATAATTTATTCAAATTTTTAAATTGTTATTTAATATTAGAAAAAAATTATTTTAGGTGATATACCGGCTTTTTAGACGGCGCGCCTATGCCGTAACGCCCTCGCGGAGCCCTATTTCCAGCGTTAAAAAAAATTATAAATAATATAGATAGAGTTCCGGGAGTTAGGACTTTTTTATTGGAAATTTCCTCTTCTTTCAGGATCTTTTTTCATAATTCCTTAAATATCATTATTTTAAAAGTTATTAACGAAAAACTAAATACCTTTTTTTATCTTATTTTGTTAATAACAATTGCAATTTTTTATGTGCTAATTAATATGCCCTTAAAAAACATTTTTCTAGACATCATTCCGAATCGAATGAGCTATGGCACATATTTTTAGGAGCTTTATATCTATTTAACACGTTTTTGAACTTGTTGACTAGACTAGTAGCACAGGTTATCTATACTAGAGAAAAAAAATTTTTTGTTTGTAATGGATAAACTAAAAATCCGCTGAACCGATTTAGATGACATTTGGTATGAAGATAGTTTGAGACTCTAAGAAGGACATAGGATAGTTTTTATCCTGGAAATCATCACTTTATGGGGTAAAAAGTAATTTGAAAGCATGGGGAATCAATCATTTCTCAAGTAAGGGAATTTGATTACTCATTGATATAAGAATAATAATATATGATCAACTTAAAAAAATCATTTCTGAATGAATAAAAGCAATGCGAATAAAAAATATGCATTTTATACGTTTAATACACGTACATATGTATGGTGCTATGTTTTCATCTAACTGTAACTATAGCTCTAGAAACTAAATAGTGAGCCCAGTGCAGCAATTTATAAAAACCAGTGATAAATGGAACCATGAATATGTATGTAGTCTTTGACTGTAACTCACATATTTTTTTCCATTAACTCACTAAATTTTCAAGAAATTAATAAGTCGTCGTTTTCTCTACCTGCCTATTTCACTACGACTCTTCATTGAATGTCAAATACATACAACGAGTTCATTACATACAATCTATACATATAATAAAATTGTAACTAAGCCGAATCTGTAAATTAATTATTTTTTGGAAAATCTTATAAAATAGACATTATTATCGATATAGAGGCCGAATCTATAATTTTTAGAATTTTTGTCTGTCTGTTACCGCATCACAGAAAAAACGCTGGAGGGATTCTGATGAAATTTGGTATGGTGATAGCTGGTTATCCGGGTCAACATATAGGATACTTTTAACCGCGAAAAAATATCTCATTTCTGAGAAAAAATACAAAAACTGCAATGTAAGAGTATACTAATATGTAAAACCTAAGAATTTGGTTTTTGGAAATCTGAACGCGGGCGGAGCCACGGGCATTGCTAGTTAAAAATATAATTTTTGAAAGACAAACATAAAAATTTGATAAAAATGCGTAAAATAGAAAGTTTTTAGAAATAATTCATCTGGTGTCACCCGCCCAGCGCCCTCCATTCGTAGTTAACGAACGTAAAAACTTTTCACATTACGCCCGTGTCGACAACTTCTACTGAATAAAATGCCTCCATTTTCATTCTCTCCTTGTTTGTATTACATTATTTCATTTGTAAATTCCCAACAGCGCACTCCCTAGACGGATACTTTTAAATACCTACCCTCTATATCCGCTTCCGTTAGAGCGCATTGGCGTATGCTGCATGGAATTCGCTACTAATTTGCGAGTTATTTCATAATTCAAAATTGAGCCAAATATTTTGGATAAAAAAATATTTCATATATCCTTAATGGGCATAATGGTATTTGTTTTCCTTCCTCTAATCAATCTTTCTAATTAATTAAAATGATTCCCCATACAAACTTCCATTCCCATTTTCACCCCTTTAAGGAATGAATTCCGGGATATAAAGTATCCTATGTCCTTCTCAGGGTCTCAAACTATCTTCTTATCAAATTTCATCTAAATCGGTTCAGTAGATCCAGAGATTACCCCCTACAACAACACAAACTCACAAACTTTACCTCTTTATAATATTAGTATAGAAAACTAGCAACTCACCCTCACTTGCCTCGGATAATACTAGCCTATTTATGTGTACTCCAGGTCATAGTCTGTCTATATTACATCCAAGCTAAATTACATCCAAAACCCTCCAGCCGTCCCATGGATAAAGCAGTAACAAACATACACACAATTATGATGTTGATAATGACGATGTTCTCCTAGCCGATTCCGGCTACAGCGACCAATCTCATTGGGATTAGCCAACTGCGCAGGAGATATTATAGTGCACAAGTGTACTCGCAGACACAAATGCACTCTCTATTCCTGTCACTCTCGTACTCCGATGGGACGACTGCTCCACAACCAGTGAGAGTTAAGGCGCAGGACCGACGGCTTTACGTGCTCTCCGAGGCACGGGGGTGAAACACCGCCAACTTCCCAGCTCCGGGCTGTTACTGAAGCTTACTATACAGAAAGACTTAATAACTAAACTTGGCCCGACCCGGTACTCGAACCCAGGACCTCCGAGTGTGCAGCCGTACATGCTAGCCACTACCCCACCGAGGCAGTTATAGACACACAATTATAATAATATTCCGATAAAAAGGAGCAAAAAATTTAATCGTAGGTCAATGATCTTAGCTTATCTATTAGATAATAGGATTCTTCTTTAATACAACAGTAACAATTCCAGCCAACATGACCCGCGCGTAGCAATTACCGGGATTATGTCTTAACTTACATCGTAAACCAGGCTATAACGCACGCACGTTTATACAGGGGACCCCGATTCGTTATCTGGTACTCTATACTTATATATTGATTATATATAGAGACAGTAAAATACTAATTTAAAGTAAATTATTTTGTTTGCAGATATTTTAAAAATTTTAAGGTTTGCTCCCCTGACATGAAGTGTTCATTCGAATGGTATAAGTTATTATATTAACAGTTGATCATCAGTTATACTATAAATACTTGTACCATACAATTGTCCCGATGGGTTGGTTAGCAATTAAAGCCGCTATTCACGTAGGCAATTAACCAGCGTATTGTTCCACGAACAACCGGCCCACGACTGTTCTAAACACGTAGGGAAGGAGTAAGAACAAAACTCAATTGACTTACTTACTTGTTTGAAGAAAACAAAAGAAATCTCCAAATAATTCCACTAATTTAAAATGAAAAAAAATGGTGTCTACCACAATATTATGAAGTTTGTATTATTTATTTTGACGACACGTTTGGCTCAGTTTGTAATAACGCTACTTGCTGTGCCAGCGGTCGCGGGCTCGAGTCCCGCTGGGGGTATTCATTTGTGTGATGAGCATGAATGTTTGTACTCCAGTCATGGGTGTTTATATTTATAATATGTATGTATTTAAAGTTATATATGTGTAGTGTATCAACTATCTGGTATCCATAACACAAGCCTCGTAGCTTACCATGAAACTAGATGGTGATGTGAGTTAATGTGCCAACATATTATATTATATTTAATTTATAAGCAATGTCAGATTGAACCGAGTCGGGTCGTGGTGATGAGCTCAGTTCTTACATAGTTCAATAATGTTTACTGATACCCTCATTTTCTCATTTTATTCCAATTAAAAAACTTTTATTCAGCATAAAATTATGACAATGTCTTACTGAACGTCAAGAGTCTACTAAAAGCTCAAAAAGATAAAGCCTAAATGCATAGAAGGTGGCGAAAAAAAACTAAGCGAGACTAAAATTAGATACCTGCCTAATCTTTTACCTAATAAATATATATTATCTTTTAACTAATAAATGTCTCATAATTCCGTAAATAAATATGTCTACCTAATCTTTTAACTAATAAATATGTCGCTCAACAGATCAGAGCAATCGTACGCGAGAACGCTTTCATCCATATCATCTGCCAACGCGCTGTCAGTGCCGTGGTCTGCCAATGAAACAAGATTGGCATTGCCAGGCGCTTTAGGTGTGGCTGGGATCCCCGCACTAGTCATAACGGATGGCACTGGCAAAGTTTTGACTACGAATGGCAGACAGTATCTTGCTGCTGACCCATTGGGATTGGTAAGTTATGTAATTTGGAAATCGCACAGTTTAGTTTTATTTATTCATATTGTGTTTGGCATTTACTTTGTAAGCATAATGAAAAAGCTCGAAAGTTAACGCTTCGTTATTTGATATTTTTGAAACATAATATATAACACATAAAAAAATACGGCAACCTTTTGCGCAATATATCGGAGATTACGGGTTCGATTCACATAATGAGCAATTTAGTCATCTTTACAATTTCAATACAAAGTACCTTAAGCTGCATAGAAAATTTACTAGCCTTAAATAAGTAGATTAAAATAAATGCATCGATAAATAAATCGATAAATATCGATCAATACGTTGGGACATTAACACACAGCACCATCTAGTTCCATGGTAAGCTACGAGGCTTGTGTTATGGATACCAGATAGTTGATACACTACACATATATAACTTTAAATACATTCATATTATAAATATAAACACCCATGACTGCAGTACAAACCTTCGTCATCACACAAATGAATGCCCCCAGCGGGACTCGAACCCGCGACCGCTGGCACAGAAAGTAGGGTCACTACAAACTGAGTTGTTAATGTTAATGTTTACTACAAGTTTATTTACGTATGTCGAATAATAATTCCCAGAACTTCCCGTGGGCCCAGCGTCCAGTGTCGGTGCTAAGCGAACAAGCTCTACTGAAAATGGCGCGTCACCCGGCCGTCGTGCTTTTTACTGGTAAATATCTATACAATATTATATATTTTTTATTTAATTTTAATTAAATATATTTCCAAATAATATTTTACACGTTAATAAAAAAATGTTTTATTGTGCAATATTATTTTTACCGCCTTTTTTATACTGACATTGTTCAATAATCTTGTGTAGCGGCCGGTAAATTCTACTACTTACTTTATCACATATCTTTACAGACGACGAAGACGGTGAAATCGAGTTCTCCGAATCAGTACTAACGCCATCAGCAGAATCATACTATGAGGAATGCAGCATACAGTACCCTGGCTTTTGTCCCTATCAGAACTCCTCGGACGACGAGACCATGGACTTCGACTACATCACCAAGACCTCGAGAATGAAAAAGAAATCTTTCAAACACGTCATGTTCTACATTGGCATCGATGGAACAGACAGTGCCGATATGATCAGAGAACACATCGGCTTAGATGACGCCGTGCCATTACTAACTGCTATAGATTTTCCAAAACAACGTATGGTCACCATGAAATATGGCGACGAAATAACAACCGATTCGGTGCAAAATTTTGTCGATGCCTTTCTAAGTGGCAACGCTGATTTTAAACCCTTAAAGCCTTATTCCGAAAAATGTTAAACAAAAATTCAGTTATTTAAAAGTATTTGAAACAATATTTAAAACAAGCAAACAATATAAAAATTAGATTAATAATTATATAATACGTCTGTTTGTAAAGAAAATTAATACAATGTTACTTACAGTTGCAATTAATGAAGTGCTCTGAAAGAACAAAATTAAATAAATACCATAGATTTTAAAATATTTTTATTGAGTGTGAAATACGTCGAGTCAAATATTATTTGATTCTTGACCGAATCTTGACCGCGGGAAATATATTATACGAAAATCACGAACCGATCTATCCCACGGGAACAGTTCATTTTCCGGGATAAAAAGTAACCTGTTGTTTGACCAGCAATATAAGGTATCAGCATGCCAGATTTTACTAAATTAGGTGCACAAGTTGTTGTGTAAGCTGTATAAGTTACTAAAGTTTTTAACTATCCCACGGGAATTCATTAATTTTTCAGGATGAAAAATATCTAAAATGTTGACCGGGGATATAAGGTACCACCATGCAAAATTTAATTTAAATCGGCCCAACAGTATCGGAGAGAGCCCGTACAAACAGACAAACAGACAGAGAAACAAAAAAAATGAAAAAATCTGGATTTGTTCTATTTCTCTTCTTACATCCCCCTGACTTGGTTTTTAGCATTTTTTTTCTATGTACAGACATTCGACCTCTACAGTTTTATTATATATATATGCATAAATTTCCTGCGATCGAGATGACAGTCGGAGTTCATGAACACAATGGTACCAACGCTAATAGTATTTAATACATATTCGTATTAATCAACCAATGGTTAACAATTTAAATTGTTAAATTTTATCAATTTTTATCATTTATTAATGAATAGAAGCAATGGCTCCATTGCAAAATGCCAGTAAACTGTTCGTTCATTGTTCAATATTTTCAAATAAACTCTACATGTAGTATTAACATTTAAATTATAACCAACTTAATTTTCTTATATTTAAGTGTAGTGACAAATAGACTAGAAATTCTCGTAACATTTTGTGATTATATACTGTACTCTACTCAGTAGTTATAGGACCGTAATGGCCTTAGTTTATATTTATAATATTTAACCAGTTCCGTCTTTACCATAAGGGCATACGGGGCACTTGCCCAGGGCCCCCAGTCTCAAGGGGGCCCGAAAGCAATATATTCATTTACACAAAAAAGAGAGAAGCTCAATTTGTTATGTATAATATAATGCATTGTAATATACGTAATGTTTTTTTTTTTTGTAAATTATTTTTTTATGCCATTCACATTTTTGAAGTGAAAACTTCTATAGGCAGGTTTGGATGAGAAGTGAATTCATGTAAGTCGTCATCGACATGGTCAAGTGACGTGTTAACGCTAACACTCAGAGTGCCGATAAATGTCAACACCAGATAAATGTAAACAGTTTTAATTTACACATTTTAATTTAAGATTAAACAATTAATTTGAATATCCACAAATAACAACAGTTTATTTATAGTTTTAAGTTTTCTCTTCTGTCGGCAGTCTTCATTACTGCTATTTTTTTTTTTTGTGTATTTTAATTTTTTATTACATACCATTTACATTTTTTATTTTCTAAAGGGGCCCTAAATTGTTATGTCCCAAGCCCTAGGTGGCTTAAGACGGCCCTGTATTCAACAGTCAATTTGTCTCGAAAATTGTAGTAAAGTAATATTAGAATGTGTTATGTATTTTTTACTTTAGCAACAAACTTAAACAAGTAATTGTAATTAATTTCATTTATTTGTGAAGTATGGTCATTGTAGAATGTATAGATATAATGTGTGCATAGAGTAGTCAAGACTAGAAATAAAAGTTTTATCTTTAGAATATTATTAGTTACATTCATTTAATAAAAGCATGTAATTTAACTCTTAAATTTAATTTAAAAAAATACATCTGTAACAATTAGTATATGGTGATATATTATATGTGTTGCTTAGCTTCAAAGGCAGAGCCAAATCCAGCGAAAAAAAATATATTATTTTACTAAATAATTGGCATTTGACGACACGTTTGACTCAGTTTGTAATGACTCTAGTTGCTTTGCCAGCGGTCGCGGGTTCGAGTCCCGCTGGGGGCATTCATTTGTGTGATGAGTACGAATGTTTGTACTCCAATCATGGGTATATTTATAATGTGTATGTATTAAAAGTTATATATGTGTAGTGTATCAACTATCTGGTATCCATTACACAGGCCTCGTAGCTTACCATGGTACTACATGGTGATGTGTGTTCATGTTCCAACAACATTTATTATTTATTTTTGTTTAATTTTACTACTTGAAAAAACTTTTTACATCCGCTTGCAATATATAAATATGCAAAAAATAAATTTATTATTTTATCATATACTAGGGTATAACGTTTTAACGGTTAGTACGAAATAGATAGACTATATCCACATCCATACTCATACTATACTATGTTACTATTAATATTATAAATGTGTAATGCCCGATTTCACCAACGTCATCTAAGTTTAAGGGATCCCCTAAGCATGGTTAAGGGCTGTTAGGGGACAGTTTCTGTTTCACCGACAGTTAGGGGTCACCTAAAATCTAAATGTTAAAATGCCACCTAAATATAGGTACTAGAAATACGGACTCCGACGATGGTAAAACAAAATTTAATTTAGGGGCTAGTTTATGGGAACTTTTAAGCTAGGGATCCCATACGTAGGTGGTAGCTTATGGGTTGTTGGTGTTTGTTTGTTTGTCCTTCTTTCACGTCGAAACAGAGTGATTGGCGTATTTTTTAACCCCCGACGCAAAAACAGGGGTGTTATAAGTTTGACGTCGATGTCTGTCCGTGTGTGTGTGTGTGTGTCTGTGGTATCCTAGCTCTTAAACGGATGGACCGATTTCGATGTGGTTTTTTTCATTTCATTTTTCATTTGAAAGCCAGTTTCCTTGCGGTGGTTCTTAGCTACGTTTTGTTAATATCGGTCCAGCAGTGTAAGAGTATCAGCTCTTTTCCAAAAAGATGTAAGGCATTTTGGCGTATGATTACTCGATAAGTGCTTCACGCGTGCCAGTGTTAAATGACAATTAATTTGCGTAGGGGGTATTTTAAATTTTTAATTTATAATTATGTATGAAGATAGTTGGAGGGCTAACTGTCTCCAAACAAACAAAACTTTCACATTTACAATATTAAGTATGGACTTAAACTAGTTGCCTCTACTCTATGTCATGTTACAACTATAGATCAAAGATGTGTTTAGAGTAATGTTAATTTATTTTTGTAGTATTTAGTATACTTGTTGTATGTCATCAGTCATTAATCAAATAGATTGAGAACGGTAGATCTATAGAGATTAGATTTTTACTTTTGTATCTGTGATCAGTTTGTTTTATAAAAATAATAAAACATTCGATGCATTTTCAATAAAGTAATATAAACAAACATTCAAAGTTTTTTATTCTACTATGAAACTGAATAAATTATTTGAAGCCACAGAGATATTGGGATATTATATGAATATAAGCATATTATCAGAAATGTTTATATGCAGTTTTATAGCACTTAAATAAAAATCCATTGCAAAAATCCAACAAATATATTTAAAATTAACATTGCCCGAGGCTCCGCCCGCGTTCAGATGACCAAAAACCAAATTCTTAGGTTTTACATATTAATATACTCTTACATTGCAGTTTCTGTATTTTTTCTCAGAAATGAAACCTTTTCCCGTGGTAAAAAGTATCCTATATGTTGACACGGATAACCAACTATCACCATACTAAATTTCCTCAAAATCCCTCCAGTGGTTTTTCTGTGATGTGGTGACAGACAGACAGACAAAAGTTCTAAAAACTAAAGATTCGGCCTCTGTATCGATAATAATGTCTATTTCAAAAAAAAAATCCAAATAAATATTTAATGTACAGATTTGGCTTAGTTACAATTTTGTTATATGTATAGATAGGAGTTCAAAACACGTAGAGGCAAATCCGTAACCAACCCATTCACCTCTTTTCAATCAGCCTACACTCTACAGAGACTATTCAAAAATGTCGAGTCCAAAATATGATTCTAAATGTGTATCGGACGCCAAAACTGACATTTAGGTATACATTGGTATCAAATTCATTCTATCAAAAATTCTTAGAAAATCATATTTATTCCTAAGACTAACTACTAACTACTTACTAACTACCTACTTTAAAGCTTCTTCCTTCTGTTTAAAGGTTTTTTTTTTATTCAAGGTTTATGCCAACCGACTCTTTTACTACAAATATGCGAAGTAGGTATTTATCTGCAAAGAAGGCATAGTGTATACGGGCGAGAGTGCGCGAGCAGCACAGTACATTCTCTAATATTTCTTAAACTTTCATAGTCCGATGCCAAAAAAAGTCTAAAGGAAGGTAAGTCTGTGAATACTGTGAAAGATCAATATTAAGAACGCAGATCAATAGCCTAGTTTTTGAGTCCATCCAAACTGTACTCAATTCATTTAATTTTTTTACCGACTTCCAATTCCAAAAAGGAGGAGGTTCTCAATTCGTCGGAATCTTTTTTTTATGTATCTTCACCGATTACTCGAAGACGCCTGAACCAATTTGAATTTTTTTTTGTTTTAAAGGGTGTACTTCCCAGGTGGTCCCATATAAATTTTATCGAAATCATAAGTATAATCAAAGTAAAGTTTTTATCATAGTTCAAATTGAACAAATTTTAATAAGGTGCCTCGCCGTTTTGGACGTACATATATTCCAACGGCTGCAGTTTAGTATATATAGTTATTTTTGGATATGGGAGGTGATAGGATATTAATATTTTTATGAAAATGAGTCAAAAGTTATAGAGTCTTAAAGTTACAATATTTGTCACTTCCAATTCTGATAATGTCCGATAACTGTAATTTCTCGAGTCGAAACTGTCACCAAATTGAAAATAACATAGCACTTATGATTAGTGTTGAGATTTTATCCGGAAAATGGATAAATATTAAATACTCATAAACGTCCGTTTTCACTTGAGTATTTATCCAAAACAGCAAATAAATACTATGTACCTAAAGTTTTCATTACGTTATTTAACGGAAATTTTGTTATTTTACAAATAAAAGAATTAAAATAAATTAAAATCTGAAAATATAGATTTTGTACCATACTTTATTAATCACTTTAACAATAAAAAGAAGCCTATAATACCAATAATTTTACTCGATCATGAATATTTTCATCAATCACTGTCAAAATTAAATAAAATTATACATTTCAACTTAAATGTTAATTTGTTATCCAGGTAAATACCAAAGTGTCTCACCTCAGAAACACGGTAAATAATTTCGCCTTTTAGGTGATAATCATAATTAATCGGTGATATTTTACGAGTAAAAGAAATAGTGCTACACTTTTTAACATTCAGAGAAAGAAAATTCTCGTTACAATATTTGCATAATTTGTTAAGATCTTCTTGTAATAGTAAACAATCTGATAGTTTAGAGATCTTTCTATAGATTTTCATGTCATCTGCAAATAATAGCACAGAAGAATAATCAAATATTTGGCAAATATCATTTATAAAAATATTAAATAGCAAGGGGCCAAGGTGAGAGCCCTGCGGTACACCAGAAGGAACGGGAACGAACGTTGAACAAAAACCCTTTATTGTCACAGTCTGACTTGTATTGTGAAGGTAAGATCTTAACCACCGAATAAGATCGCCATGAATACCAACTTGCTCTAATTTACTCAATAGGATAGTGTGAGACATTTTGTTGAAAGCCTTAGAGAAATCGGTGTAGATGACGTCCATGTCCTTTACCACACGATGACCTAGTTCACACACATTTGTTTCAACAGACCTTTTACTAACAAAACCGTGTTGCTCACTAATCAAAATACCTCTTACAATTGGAAAGATACTGTCATAGATAATTTTTTCGAACATTTTAGCTATAGTACATAATTTAGAGATGGTCCTATAGTTCTGAACATTTTGTTTATCTCCCGACTGAAGAATAGGTACAACGAACGAGCGCTTCCAAACAAGTGGCATTGTGCCTGAACGTAATGGTTTATTAAAAAAAAGCGAAATCGGATAACCTAAGGATTTGTAACATTGCTTTAAAAATATTGGAGGTATCTCATCCGGTCCACAGCCCTTATTGATATCTAGTGATTTCAGATATTTTTTAACGGTCGATACTGACAAATCTATACGGCCAATATTTAAACTACAATTTTTACAATCTGAGTATGTTTTAAATGATTGTTTAGTGGGTTGAGTTTCGTAAACCGATTTAAAATATTCATTAAAAAGTGAGCATCTCTTCCCCTTCTCCAGCAGTACCATCAAATAAAAATACACTAGCTGAATATCCGATAAAAATGAGATAAAACGAGTATTTATCCATTTTTTTAAAATACTTGAGTTTTATCTTCCGAGTATTTATCCTGCGCCCATCACTACTTATGATATTAGGGTTTCTGGGTTTGAAATAAAAAGAAAACCTAACAAAAAGGCTAAGGCGGGTGATACGCTACACTTCGCTCCCGCCTTACCCTTCTCAACCTACGTTATCCTAGTCGGGCCAATCTTAAAATCGAAAATTAAAACTTACAAATAAATAATATTTTATTTAGATGCTCTTAATTTAAAATAAAATTAAAAAAACAATATTAAGTAGTAACAAATATATTAGTTTATATGTAAATATATTAGTAACAAATATATTAAATAATTATATATTAGTTGTACAGTAACTGGATTAATAGTAACTTCGCAGAATTATTGTAAGTCGCTTTAATATCTAATATACTTAAGCGGTCCTAAACTTCATTTAAGATCTTGATCATCATTTTCATCAGATACCATGGTGATAACGACGCCTTTGACGGCAAAACTTCCGGCTCTGGCTACTTGATGGAAAGTATCGGAATCTTCAAGCATATCGCAGTTAAAAACTATGTCGACTCTTTCAAAATCCATTTCGCTTTCAAAGAAATTGGTAGCAACTAATATACTGTTCTGGGAATCCTTAAATTGTTGGTAAAGGGAGAGACGCTCATCTTGAGTCATGTTTTTATGAATACCTATTGCTGGGATTTTTCGTTCTGTAAGTAGTTGAAGCAGAGTTATGCAACGTTGCACTGACTTAACAAATATCACCATTCGCTGAAAAGATAACATATGTAATAGATCTAACAGCTCCTTATTCTTCTTATATTCTTTCACTTCAACATAGTACTGCAGCAAGCCAGGTAATGTCAGTTTAGCTTCATCATCAACATAAACTTCCATGGGGTACTGCATGAATTTCTTGCACACTGGTCTGATCTCCTTGCTCAAAGTGGCCGAAAACATCATAACTTGCTTTCCATGAGGAGTGCTACGGAAGATTTCTTGTACATCACGGCGCACATCTAGAGGCTCCAGCATTTTGTAACACTCGTCCAGAATAAAATGTTTTAAGTGTTTCAAATTTAGTTTCTTACTGTTGACTAAAGCTAAGATACGTCCTGGAGTACCAACTACGATATAGGGGCATGCCGTTTTTAATACATCTTCATCTTCCTGGATCGGCATCTCATCGGAAAATACTGAAACCCTTATACCAATCATATATTTGGAGAAGCGCTCATATTCCTTGCTAATTTGGAAGGCGAGCTCTCGTGTATGACACAATACGAGAACATAAACATGGTTCACCCAGGCCAAGGGTCTCAATAGTTGTAGCGTTGCCAAAACAAAAACGACGGTTTACCCATACCAGATTTAGCTTGACACAATATATCCATACCGCGAAGTGCTTGCCGTAAGCATTCATGCTGTACTTCTAAAGGATGCTCAAAGCCGCAGTCGATAATAGCACGTAAAATTTTCGATCTTAGAGGGAAACATCTAAATCCTGATCTATTAATCGATACATAGTAGTCTCCATCAGCCACTTCCTCTTCTGAATAATCCTCTACATCTTCGCAGCTGAGAAGATCTCCGATATCGGTCATGGTTTAAGTGTTGAATGTATAAACGGTAAAAGGAACGGTCTTTAAATAGTAAACAATAATAACAGGTTTAAACACGTAAAATCTTGTCTAAAAATTGATTCATAATAATGGCGTCATCGGCTAAACCAAAGAGAACAAAACCAGAGATAACATTATTATATTTCCAATATTATTTTGTTTGTAAGCTTGGGTACAGATAGTAAATAATTTATTATTTTTAACTGACGGAAAAAAAGAGGTTTTCAATTCGACACGTATATTTTTTTTTTAAATGATTGACCACGCATAACTTTTTACAGTATAATCCAATTTTGATTAAAATAAGTATCTACCTAAAGTAAACACGATGAAAAAATGCTACCTTTAACTTTAAAATGATTGACTACATGAAACGGTACCAATGTAATTGTAACCGTACATAAAATACACTGAAAAAAAGTGTGTGTGTATTTATGTACACGCGTAAGGAATTATGATTCTTTTGTTTTTTCATTTAAATAAAAGGTTGTTTTTTTAAACTTTACTTTTTTTAATTTTATTTTACTTTTTACCGTATTCTTCTCAGCATACTTTTTCATTTGATATCCATAATAATCGTGGGGGCTTATAAAAAAATAGTCCGCCATCTTTGGGAGTCCACCATACTGGATTTACAACGACGTTACTTTGCTTATTGTGTTTCGCTCATCATGCCCTTTCATTTGATGCCCATACCATAAGGGTCATTTATGAAATCGATAATTCGCCATTTTGCAACCTTGCCATATTAATTAAAAATGGCGGCATTTAGGCAATCGTGATTTGTCACGAGAACCAAACATGTGTCCTTAATCGGACACTGGGAACTGGGTTAATTTAACTTGCAAGATTTGATTACAGAAACGCCGGGACAGGTGAACCTAAATAAAGGTTGTATTATTTTTCAACCGACTACCTCAAAAAGGAGGAGGTTATCAATTCGGCTGTATGTTTTTTTTTATGTTTGTTATCTCAGAACTCCGTCATTTATTAACCGATTTGGACAAATTTTGTTTTGTTTGAAAGTGTATACTTCCAGATTGGTCCCATTAAAATTTAAAAAAAAATACCACCCCTAAGGGTGGAAAATAGCGAATCATGAATTAAACCTACTTCTAATTGTCATATTGACTTGAAACTTTGCAAGTGTGTTTATTTCCGTTGATAGTGCAGTGTTTCGGTATCGTTGACCTGATCTGATGGTAAGGTCAGAAGGTGGATAGGTGGAACTCTTCAACGGCTAATAGTAGATACTTTGAGTTTGAGCTTATTTTGTTTAATTTGACAAGCCTAACACGTTAAAATCGGATTTTAGACCCAGAATTTTTAGTGTAACTAATAAAAACGAATTTTAATTTAAAAGTCTTCGTATAAAAATTTGCATCAAAGTAACTTAAACGGTTTAAGCGAATATTTTATTAAAATACTTTCTTCTTACTTTGCTACTACTATGTCTACACTAAAAAGTCGGTGCTAGCCGATACAAAACAAAGCACACCGAATTCGAAAATATTCGATTAGGTATGTATAGTAAATGAAAACTACCAATCATTTATTTTTTACTTTTTAGTGCTTTTTTTTTGAAGTCACTTCATTTTTTTGTTAAAAAGTTTTTATTATTTTTATCGATATAAAAGACAAATTATGTGTACAGAAATACCGGAATAATATCTTGAATTAAGATTTAACGACTAACTTCACACTGTAACCAATAACGACTAAATTTATGCTGTAGTCTAAATCTGTGTGTGTAGTGAAAAAAATCACTCCATCAAGTCTCATCAACTCTCATCCAAGCGCGTGAAATGGCGGGCGCTTAAAGTATCCGTATTGGCATGATAGGTATTTTTTTTTTATTTATACTAAGTTTTAGTTTTTTGAAGTTGGAAATGCTTTTTACAAATATAAAACGATATAAGCTATTGTATAAAAAAATAAAAAAAGTCCCACATATTCCCTATTGCAAAAATAACATACATCAGTATTATAAAAAAAAATATTCATACAACACCGTAATTGTTGTAACCAACAACGATCATCGTCGTCGTCGCGGTGACGATATTGAAGAGAGAGAAAGAAAAGATAGACATATTATGGTATCGCGGACTTTTTATAGAAATTTATATTATTTTATAATAAAATATTATTGTAACATTTTGTGGTTTCGCCTGCAATAGAGTTTACGCGGCGCACGCCGCGCCAGCCGTAAAGCTCCCAGTCGGTATTATTTTTCCGAAATCTTCAACAATCATCGTTATATTGCAGCCAATTTACACAAAACCTTAATTAATTATACACCTAAATCTTTCTCATGAATCACTCGTCCATTGGTGAAAACCGTACGAAAATCTATTCAGTAGTTTTTGAGTTTATCGCGTTCAGACAGACAGACGCGTTGCGATTATGTTATAATATGTAGTGATAAGCTTTTCATTTATCCATTTACTGAAATTCACGAAATTCATAGAATCGTGATATTCACCTGTTTATAATTTAAATTTGAACATCACAAGTGCTCTTTTATAAAAATTATAAAACGTTTGATACATTTTCAATAAAGTAAACAAATATTCGAAGGTTTTATTCTACTATGAAACTGAATAAGTTATTTGTAGCCACAGATGTATTGCGATATAAAAGGATATAAGAAGTGCCTATATGCGGTTTTATAGCACTTAAACAAAAATTAATTGCCAAAAGCTAACAAATTATACTCAACTAGTGACTGACCCTTGCTTCGCTCGGGTTCGTCCCCAGCTTGCTTCCCAATATAAGCTTTCATCCCCATTTTCACCCTCTTAATGCAATTAATAAAGTTAATATTTAACGAGACATCTAAAATATTTTGAGAAAGTTGTAGAATCTTCTTTAAATTATATGCGTAGATACATATTTATTGCTATTTTGAGATAACTTATATACCTGAGTGACCTACGGAAGATTTTAATCTATCAAAACGTATTTCATAGAGAAGTGACGAAGGGTCTAGGAGGGTCTGGTTTATACTTTTTGCATTTTCTGAGAAAATTTACCATAATAAGTAATGTATTTAATTACACTATCAGAAAATAGAGATTTCAACGAACAAAAAGCCCACAGTTTTTTTTTAAAAAGCAGATATTTTGACGTAAAATTTTTCGATTGAAAATTAGGGTTTTTTGTATGTTTGGGACATAAAAGATGAGGTACCACCAAATTTCGTGAAAAGATTTTTTTTTGTAAAAGATAAATTTTTATCTTTTTTAAAAAACCAAAAACTTGGTTATTTGTATTTTTTACATAAATTTTGAGGTTATGTGAAAAAGTGTAAATACAAAAGTTGTAGCTCTTTTTATTACCTAAAAGTTTGCCATTTACGTTTTTCCTACAGGACTCGTAGTTTTGCCGGAAATCGAGATAAACGTTTTTTACCCTTAAAAACTCACCCCCTCTCACTTCCCGACCTCAGATCGCCCGTAAATTATTTTTTCCCTTCATTTTTGTTATATTCTCCCTTTTCCAACGGGGTTCATCCTACTATTATTTTTTTCACTTTTTACCATTTTCAAAGGCTTCAGCCCTGGTCTATATATTTTAGAGGTATCAAATTCATTCTATCAAAAGTACAAGTTGTTAGGTAAAAAATATGTAATATTTTTTATTAATTCATACCATATAGTTAAGTCCAGACTTAAGAAGTTATATAATGCTTTTAAATGCAGAACCCAGTCTAGAGAGGGGAGGAGGGAGAGTGGGGTTGGATCCCCGGAGCGGTAAAAATGAACGGCGGCAAAATTAAGGGTGCCAACTGCCGGGTGATTGTACGGAGTTCTTAATTCTCTCTCTAGGAGAGAAAAATCTTATAAATATTACTATTAGTACCTTGACAAAAAAAAATATTTAAAGAATAATAAGAACAGTAGCAACTATAGCGGCTGTAAATCTTTAGACGGACCAGCATATTTGAAGAGCTGTGCTTCTTAATGCTGTCTTCCAAGAAAATTATAAAACTTAGCAAGTTAGCACTTAAGCAAGCCAAACTAAAAAAAGAAGAAAAAATACCTAAATAGGAAACAAGAAACTCAATTTCAACCCTTTCGATATGTAATGATTTTAGAATCTAAAATACAAAGAAATTCTCCCGAATTTTTTTGCCGATTTTGTATTTCCGAAATAGCAACCTTTTTCGTGCTGTTCATGATTGACGAGGATTCCTCACAAATGTTGTAGGAGAATACTCTTTTATCCTACATTCTTAGACCACGCGGCATTTTAGGGGAATCCCTTAAATACTATGTATAAGTAAAAATTGTGTTATTTTTCCATTAGTTCTTCTGAGGACTTCTGGAAGGAAATTCTGTTATAGACTAACTTCCGTCATATTTGTGAATAGTGTAGCGGTAACCATGAAAAACGTTACTAAGTGATATAGAATTAAAGCGTTTTATCTATATAATAATTATAATTTTAAGCGCAAAAATAGTTATATCAGGATTTTAAATAATGTTATCCAAATAAATATTGACTTTTTCTTAACTCTTCTTTTAAACCAATAAAATTTATTGTGCCGTACCATGTCTGCCATAATTAATCAGGAATGGCACAATCTTTACAATAACCATGAATATTAATGAAAATCCGTGATGAAAAACCCGCAAACATTCAGCACCATTTGACATTTCTGGACACCGCACTCTATACTAGCGCCCTCTCGCGGCGAATTCAAGCGCGGCAGCCCACATTTGGTTACGAATTACGATTGTCATGTGTGGTGACGAACCAATCATTGAACCTCGTCAAAAATATAAAACCGAAGTATTTTTTCACATTATAGATACAGCTATAAATTCCTTAGAGTTCAGGTTTCCCCAGATTACTGAGCGTAGTAAACTGTAAACATTTTGCTTTTTTGTATAACATAATATTATTATGCCATATGAGAACTTTCAAAAATTAATTGTTAGAACATTGTAACAACTTGGAGTCTATCTTAACTTACGAGCACTACATTAGTTCATTCATCAATGTGATATAAATGCATTAGAACTTTCAGAGGAGTTATCAGTTCTTTGTGCGTTTTTAAATAGTAATTTGTCCCCTCAACGTTTTAAAACTTATAACAGATTTAAGATTTGGTTCAAATATCAGTATTGCGCTCAGAATTCTTTTAACTTTACCAGTAACAGTTGTAAGTTGTGAAAGAAGCTTTTCTAAATTAAAAATATTAAAAAATTATCTGCCATCCACAATGATACAAAATAGATTATTTGGATTGTCTATGATTTTCGGAAGCTAAATAGTAAAAATCAAAATAAATTCGAAAAGATAGTTTTATTTCAAAAGTGTTAGTGTAAAGGGCGGCGTACATTATTTTGCCCGGGGCGGCAAAATGATTAGATTTTAGGGCCCTGTTTAGATATTTAGGGGTATTTTATAGCATATAATACTACTAATTACCTAATTAACCAATATATAATAAACTAATTAACCAATATAACTAATAAAGTTTATGAGTATAGATGTTTGTTATTCTTTTACACCAGAATGGCTGAACGGATGTGCTTGGATGGGGCCGCTCGTCTAGGCCTCGAGCCGAAGACGTTGCGGCCACCGGTGGTGGGACCGCTTGGTCCCACAACCGGATGATGGGTGCCGGTTGCGGGACTGTAGTCGCAGGCCCGCATCCGGCGGAGGGGTAGGCCGCGGCGGGAGAGGAGTGCCGGTATTTCGGTGCGCCGTTCTCCCTACCTTCCGCGGCCTAGACGGGGCCGCCACCGTTTGATGGCGGACGCGGTGGGGCTGCAGGGGAAGAGGAGTGTCGGTGTTTCGTTGCCGCTCTCCCTGTCCTCTGCAGCCGATTGGAGGTGGCCCACTTCGGTGGGCGGAGGTTCGGTTTTATGGAGCTGCACCCGGTACCTCTCTGGTGTAGCAGAGTTGACTGTGGAGCAGCCCCATCGGTGTGGTGGTCAGCCGTTGGCAGACCTGCCGCCGGGGCACCGTAGTAGTTATGCGCAAGCGATCCTGCGGCGTCCCATTAAGGCGGAGGGGAGGGGAATGTCGGGTTTTAGTGGGTAGTACCGGCTCTTCTAGCCGGTGAGCCCCACATCACCACCTGGGGGATCAGGTGGTATGCGTAAATGCATTTCCCGACATAAAAAAAAAAAAAAAAAAAAGAGGCGAACCCGAGCGAAGCGAGGTTGAGCCGCTAGTATAATATATTGGCATAAAGACTTATGCCAAACAAGTTTTTTACTACTAATATGCAAACTATTAATCTAAATCTAAAAAAAAGACGTATAATAGAGGCGAAGTTGCGCAAACAGTACAGTATATTATTCTCTATTCCCTAAACTTTCATAGTCCGAAGCCAGAAAAGATCTAATGGAAGGTGAGTCAGTGAGTATTGTTAAGGATTACTATTGAGAACGCAGGTACAATAGCCTAGTTTTATAGCCCATCCAAACTGTCTTCAATTCATTTTTATTCGCAGTTTTCCATGGTTCTTACGCAATATAGTGTCCAGTTACTATCATAATATATAGGTATGATGAGTTTCATATCCCTTACTTCAGAAATGGTGAATTATGACCCCCTTAAGGGATAATTTCCGGGATGAAAACTATTCTATATCCTTCCCAGGGTCATAAATTATCTTTATATGAAATTTTATCTAAATCGGTTCAGCGGATTTTTATTATATCCATTACATGCAGAAATATGTTTTTTCTATATAATATTAGTATAGATAAATAGAAAATGGACTTAGCGGTTGCTTGAATTATTTTACGATAAAATAATAAGTAAATTATTTATAACCTATACCCAAGCTTGCCCATAGAGAAACAAAATAAATTTAATATTATTGTTATCTGTGGTTTCATCGTTTGAGTTTAGCCGCTGACGCCATTATTGTGAAACGATTTTTAGACAAAATTTCACGTGTATAATCCTGTTATTATTGTTTAACATTTAAAGACCGTCCGTTTGTTTAGTGTTTATATATTTAACGCTTAAATCATGGCCGATAACGACGATCTTCTCGACTACGAAGATGAAGAGAATGCAGATCAGCAAGCGGCTGATGGAGCGACCGAAGCGGCGCCAAAAAAAGAGGTTAAGGGCTCTTATGTATCGATTCATAGTTCAGGATTTAGAGATTTCCTTCTAAAACCGGAAATTTTACGTGCTATTATCGACTGCGGCTTTGAGCATCCTTCAGAAGTACAGCACGAATGCATACCGCAAGCAGTGCTCGGTATGGATATTTTGTGTCAAGCTAAATCCGGTATGGGTAAAACTGCCGTTTTTGTTTTGGCAACGCTACAACAATTGGAACCCTCGGAGAACCATGTTTACGTTCTCGTAATGTGTCACACACGAGAGCTCGCCTTCCAAATTAGCAAGGAATATGAGCGCTTTTCCAAATATATGGCTGGTGTAAGGGTTTCAGTATTTTTCGGTGGAATGCCGATCCAGAAAGATGAAGATGTATTAAAAACGGCATGCCCCCACATCGTGGTCGGCACTCCAGGGCGTATCTTAGCTTTAGTCAACAGTAAGAAACTGAATTTGAAACATTTAAAACATTTTATTCTGGACGAGTGTGACAAAATGCTGGAGTCTCTAGATATGCGCCGTGATGTACAAGAAATCTTCCGTAGTACTCCTCATGGAAAGCAAGTTATGATGTTTTCGGCCACATTGAGTAAGGAGATCAGACCAGTGTGCAAGAAGTTCATGCAGGATCCCATGGAAGTTTATGTTGATGATGAAGCTAAACTGACATTGCATGGCTTGCAGCAACACTATGTTAAACTTAAAGAAAATGAGAAGAATAAGAAGCTTTTTGAGCTATTAGATGTTTTAGAATTCAACCAAGTTGTAATATTTGTGAAGTCTGTGCAACGATGCACAGCTCTGGCTCAACTACTTACAGACCAAAATTTCCCAGCAATAGGTATTCATAGAAACATGACTCAAGATGAGCGTCTCTCCCGTTACCAACAATTTAAAGATTTCCAGAAAAGGATATTAGTTGCTACCAATTTGTTTGGTAGAGGAATGGACATTGAAAGAGTCAACATAGTTTTCAACTACGATATGCCTGAAGATTCCGATACTTATCTCCATCGAGTAGCCAGAGCTGGAAGATTTGGTACCAAAGGCTTAGCTATCACCATGGTGTCTGATGAAAATGACGCCAAGATCTTAAATGAAGTTCAGGACCGCTTTGATGTCAACATAACTGAACTACCTGAAGAAATTGAATTATCTACCTATATTGAGGGCCGATAAATTTAAGATATTTTTCTCATTCCCACTTAAAAACTAATCAAAATATTACTTTGTTTTTATGTTATGTTTAAAGTTCTGATTTGGATTTAGTCTACAATCAATTGTAGTTTTATATGTAACTAAGTAAAGAGTAACAGCTGTAATGCAGTCTTAATAACTAAAGTGTGCTAGCTTTAAGATATGATTAAATTGATATTTGACATTGTGTACTTTTTGGTTTCATTTTTAAATCAATTCAGTATTACATATAATTGTGATTAACTCTTACAACATGAGGTTTGATAGTTACATGATGATGTCAATAGTTAATATTATTATTTAGCAGATAGGTGTGGTGCCGAGACTGGCATGACATGATGATAATCAATTTCATATTAATCTGACAATACTTTCACACAAAAATGAAAAATGTCTATTTCATGATATTATTAACATTTTTTCAATTCCATTTAGTACCTAATTAATTTTTTTTACAAATCTAAAAGTAATTTGTAAAAAAAAGGTTATTTACTATGAATCATTTTATGCATTAGCTATGATGAGTCATTATATAGAAACTTCATTTTCCTTGTTAAAATACACTTTAATATACATAAAATATTTAAAATGGATAGTAGTAATTACTGGAAAAATTAAATATAAAGATAAAGCAAAGTTATTATAGAAACTCATAACCCACATATTTGAAATGAAATAAACTATTTACTCAGCAGGTATTTATTAAACAATGTAGCAAACGCTGTCTTATATTACACATATGAGATTACTTTTATGAAACAACATAAACAAAAAAACTTTAAATTATTATTATTACAGCTAATGTACATGGGTAAAAGTTTTTTCATGGGTCAGTCTAGTTATAAGATCAAGTGCCCATTTAGGTTGATCCCCTGGAACCATGTGGCCAGCATTTCGTACCATGATCTCAACCAACTTACCACCTTGCTTTACATATCCAGCCAATTCTCCGTCAACATACCACTGATACCTCTTGGCTGACCTATACTCGTCAGCACCGGTAAAGTTGAGGTTTCTCAAATAATTTAAAGTCAATGGATATGCAACAATAATATCCAACTGCCCATTATAAATTACTATGTAATAGTGGTCTAAAAGTTCAGATATCCACGGTGCAACTGATTTCATAACATCTTCCTTTAAGTGTTTTTCTACTTCTTTTCCATCATGGAAAGTTAAATTACCAACATGAATGGAATTCCTGACAGAGCTACTTTGTATCATGGAACCAAAATCCTCTTGATTATAATCCTTATTGTACAAATAATTGAAATAGAACTCAAAACCTGTCATGTTGTAAAAGACACTTTTGCCATCAATCATGTCACCATTAAGTAAAGTATCGAAGGCCTCAAAAGCTTCATTCCATTTCTCTTGTTTAATAAGATTAATAGCTTTGCTTTCCATATCAGCGAATACACTAGCCTGGTTCCAGTCCAATAGCCCAATTTGATACAAATATTTACTATAAACTAATTGGTGCTCGGGATCACTCAACCCATTACCAATGGCCAATGCTTTCAAATTAATCTTTATTTTAGCTGAAGGATTCTTCTTGTAGATTGTGTAGGCCAAAGAGGGTACATATTTTCCAGCATATGACTCTCCAGTGATAAAGAACTTGTTGCCTTGTAACTCGGGGAATAATTGAAAGAATTGTATGAGAGTGGAGTATAACTGTTCACCAACTTGAGTCTGATTAATGCAGTAGCCCCTAGGGTCTTCAGTGAAGCTAAAGCCAGTTCCAACTGGATTGTCTATATAAATGACATGATGACTTAAAGCCCAGTTATACTTACGTCTTTCAAATCTCTTTTTATGAACTCTAAGAGGACCATTTTCTGTAAAAAGTCCATAGAGAGATGTCGCTCCAGGGCCCCCTTGAAGCCACAATATAACTGGAGCATCTTTATTGTTACTAATCATAGCAGGAAAATACCAAAAGAATTGATTTGAATTGTATTGTTTATTCACAGTGAAAAATCCTGCATAGCTTTTTATTTTAAGGCTTTCTGTAAATGGCACGCGAGCCAACCGCCTGCCTTCTGTGACATTACCACTCTCGACATATGGAGTAAGGAATAATGGACTACCTGGATCTCCATCATCAGGTTCCCCAAGACTTATTTTTGGATATTGATTAAAGAGGCACTGTACAGTTAAAAAATTAATAAGCAGAGCAGCCCAAAGAAAAAAACTAGACATCGTGCTTAAACGTTGACCGATACTTGTATGCAGTATTATTAATAAATTATAGAGAGCAAAACGAGATGTAGTCAAAAAGCGGAGATAGGTATATTTTAGCCTTATCTACGAGCGCTATCCATATTCCAATTTTGCTTATCATTCGACTGGGAACATAAAGGTTAACAATAATAACTTAAATAAACAAAAACTATCAAGCATCATACAAATAGGTATATTACAAAGATGTAATTTTAAATTAAATTGAACTTTTCTCCTGATGTTTTCTCTTGGGTCAAAATAAAATAAATGTTGCCAAGTACATTGTACAATTATATCATATCTGCGTCCTGCATGTTTTTTCTAGTTTTAGTAGTTAGTATATTTTTTTTCTAGTTAAATTCAATTTAAAGAAATATTAGCCAAAGCTATTTTATTGTTTCACCAAAAACTATATGTAATAAACTTAAAAATAAAATTATCAATGATTCGAAAGTGAAAGCCCTGACAAAAGTCAACTGTCAACGTCAAATGTCAATGTTCTTGTGAATTTTGATGTTGTATATTTTGATTTTTGTAAAATGTAAATGTTAAATGTTTTTTATTTAGTTAATTTTTGTGTAGTGACTTGTGTCTATGAATGACACAACTTTTACCTTAAATGCATAGTAATTAGTAATTATTAGTTAAAGATAAAAGTAAATAAGAAGTCGGTTAAAATGAATATTCTTCTTAATTTTTATCCACTGACTGTTCTAGCTATATTTTCTTCATTTTATATATTTGTGCTATCTATACATTTCCCATATGTATATCCAAGAATAAAACTTGAAGCAAAAAGTAAAGGTGATGCGGGAGAACCGCTCATTCTAACGCCTTATATAGAAAAAGGAAATATTGAACAAGGCCAAAACTTATCACGTGTATCAATTACAGAAAAAATTGGCATCACAAGTCATGCCGGCTTTTTAACTGTTGATAGTAAATATAATTCTAATTTATATTTTTGGTACTTTCCTACTTTTGATAAAAATCGTAATGCCCCAGTAGTGCTGTGGCTCCAAGGAGGTCCAGGGGGAAGTTCCTTATTTGGGCTATTTACAGAAAATGGCCCTTTAATGGTAAAAAAATCCGGATTTGTTACAAGGAAATATCATTGGGCTCTAAGATACAACCTACTCTTCATTGATAACCCAGTAGGAACAGGATTTAGCTTCACAAATGATGATATAGGATACTGTGAAGATGAACAATGTGTTTCGAAAGGCTTGTATAATGCTTTGCAACAGTTTTTTAAACTTTTCCCACGTCTACAATCAAATGATTTTTATATAACTGGAGAATCTTATGCTGGAAAATATATTCCATCTTTGGCTATGGAAATTCATAAAGATAACGTGATCAGTAAACAAAAAATAAACCTTAAAGGTATGGCATTGGGCAATGCATACTGTGACCCTGTCACTCAAATGGACTATGGTAATTACTTATATCAACATGGTTTAATAGATGATAAACAAAAAAGTTTATTCATTAAAATGCAAAATGCAATTGTTAAAAATATAAATGAAGAAAATTGGGTAGAGGCGAATGTACTGATGGATACATTAATGGACGGAGACTTAACAAACTTTTCATATTTTAAAAATTATACTGGTTTCCAAAATTATTACAATTTTTTAATACCAACAGATGCAACAGATATGGATATGTATATAAATTTATTGAATAATGACCAAATACGAAGAAGTGTTCATGTTGGAGGACTGCCCTTTCATTCTGGGAAAGAAGTAGAAATACATTTAGCGTATGATATATTAAAATCAGTCGCTAGTTATGTCGCAGAATTATTATCACATTATCGTCTTCTATTTTACAATGGGCAATTAGATATAATTGTAGCATATCCTTTAACTGAAAACTTTTTGTGGAGCTTAAACTTTTCATCTGCTAATGAATATAAAAAGGCAAGTAGAAAAATATGGAAAGTACAAAATGACTTAGCTGGTTATGTCAAAAAAGCAGGCAATCTTACAGAAGTGATGGTCAGGAATGCAGGTCATATGGTTCCTCATGATCAGCCCAAATGGGCATATGATCTTATAACAAAGTTTATAAGCAATAAATTGTAAAAGTTGCTTATATTTCATTTTGTTATATTCGGCTTCATTCAATGTAGAATTTAAACTTACTCATTTTCTTTTAAAATAGATATAGTAGAAATATAGAATAAAAATAGTAGACCAGTGGTAATGCATTCACTTAAGAACAACGAAACTGGTTCAAATCCTGAGTCTCGCACCTCTGATATTTTCATGTGCATATCATTTCACATGATTACCATTTGTCTTACGGTGAAGGAAAACATCGTGAGAAAACCTGCACGTCTGAGAGAACTTAGCAAGCTTTCAAAAGACATGTGAAGTCCACCAACCTGGCCTTTGGCTAGTGTTGTGGCCAGAGCCCCTTTCGCATTGAAGGGAGGCCCGTGCCCAGCAGTGGGACTTTAAAAAGGACTGAATACATACATACAAATATAATCAAAATGATCAAATGGAATCTCAGAGAAACTCAGTATATTTACAGACTAGAATATTATATTAGAAATGAATTGATTTTCTACAATCTTAAGGTATTTGGTCCTCTCTATTCCTTAAACTTGAATAAATGTAATGGCTATGATTTTTAATAATGAATTATGAAGTACATAATTGTTACATTTCATTTATTTTATTGTTTTAAATAAACATATTTATATATACACAATTTATATATTATTTTGGCCCAATCTCCTTTACCAAAGCGTTTAAGACTCATGGTGTGTTGAATGCATGTAACTTAAACAATTTTTAAATATAACTATTTGTTTTTTATTGCTTTTTATTATCTTTGATTTCATTATTGATTTCTTTAAGAGGCCAATATTACATCCAAATGTACTGATGAATTTAGCAGAAGTACAATTTCTTAAGTTTATTGACAAAATAATGTCCTGAGTCCTGAAAGATTTCAGCCACGGCGGCCAATCTCACTGAGACTAGCCGCGCAGGAGATATCTACATGTTTACATATAATAAGACTAGGTCGAATGTAATATGGTGTACATAGAAAAAAAATGCTAAAACCGAGTCAAGGGCATGTGAAAGAGAAATAAAACAATTCAGACTTTTTTTATTTTTTTTGTTCCTCTTGTCTGTTTTTTTGTTTGTACGGGCTAATCTCCGAAACTGACCGATTTAAATGAAATTTTGCATGGTGGTGGTACCTTATATCCCCTGTCAACATTTTAGATACTTTTCATCCCGGAACATTAAAGAGTACCCGTGGGATAGTTAAAAAACTATAACAATTTATACAGCTTAGTACACAAAAACTACTGATTGGATTTTAATGAAACTTTATAATAATATAATTCATACATTAGAATAACAAATAGGCTACTTTTTATCCCGGAAAAACGTATGGTTCCCGTGGGAACTAATGGATCTCTATTAGTGTTTGTCTAGAGGCGAACCCGAGCGAAGCGAGGGTGAGCCGCTAGTTATAAATACCTATAGTGCACAAGTGTACTAATCCATACTAATATACATAATTATAAATGTGAAAGTAACTGTTACGTTTTCTACACATCTAAACCGGTGAAGCAATTTGATAGTTTTATATGATTTATATTTTTTGTCGCAAAAATTAAACTTGAAGAGAGTGAAAAATGGTTGATAGTTTGTATTGGGAACAAATCATTTCTCAAGTACAAAAAAATCATCATTTCCTATAATTTTCGTTATAAATGAAGAATACTTCGGCGTTTATAATCAAGGTAAAATAGGAGATGAGTTCAAGTTTTTTTTAATCTTTTCTACACCTATGTCTATTCACATTGTAAAACATACACAGGGACAAATAAATCGCTTATCTATACATATAATAAAATTGTAACTGAGCCGAATCTGTACATTAAATATTTTTTGGAAAATCTTATTGAAATAGACATTATTATCGATACAGAGTCCGAATCTAGTTTTTCGAATTTTTGTGTCTGTCTGTTACCGCATCACGAGAAAACCACTGGACAGATTTTGATGAAACTTGGTATGATGATAGCTGGTTATCCGGGTCAACATATAGGATACTTTTTACTGCGGAAAAATATCTCATTTCTGAGAAAAAGTACAAAAACTGCAATGTAAGAGTATACTAATATGTAAAACCTAAGAATTTGGTTTTTGGTCATCTGAACGCAGGCGGAGCCGCGGGCAATGCTAGTCTTCCATATATCCTGCTATTCCCTTTGAAGGATTTTTTTAAAGCTACTATTTAGTTTGTTCTAAAGTCAGATTAATATTTGTATCAAAAATTATAACAATAAAACACGAGAAATACAAAAATTAGGTACTCATTTATTTCATATTTCTAAACAATTTAATAAATAAACTTAATAGGTCATTCAATTAATAATTATATGAAGATTATTTTAAATGAATAAAACTTAGGTCTATTATGGACTTTGATTTCATCTCATGCACACTTAACCAATTTAGTACAAAAAAGTATTCATTTGAAATTGTATAATAGTTTTTTAGATTTACACGAATATTTGACATTTTAAATAAAATTACCTTTTCGGATAATTTCGCGGATTTATTTTGATTTTTGGTTCCCGACGTTTCGAATGCTTTACAGCAATCATGGTCACGGGAGAGACTGAGGTGTTAGATATCTTAGAGGTCCCAGAAAATTACAAAATGATTTAAAAAAAAAAAACAAAAATATCACCAAAGTACCTTACAATATTTGTTGATTTTAATTTAAAACATTTTTTTTAATAAGTATTATAATTAAACATGGCAATTTTATTTATTTTATATTAGCTGTTTTCAAAATAAATCCACAAAAAAATCCGATAAGATAGTTTTATTTAAAATGTTGTAACTTTATTTTAATAAAATGTAATAATTTCAAAAAGAATTTATGAAATCAAAACTAACATTAATATGTACATTTCTATGAATATATGGTAATTTTGTTTTATATGTTTTTGTATGGCTCATCAAAATGTATGTCTGAGGATCGAATTTAGGTTGGGTTTTATTAAACTTGGCTTTTCATTTCTCTAGATCGTTTAGCGTTTTTTGAATAACCAACCGAGTATCATATAACACGTGCAAAGAACAATGCTGTAACTCACTAATCAGTATTAACATAATTTAAATATAATAATAATATCTATTGTAAAGTTCTATACACACCACATTTTATTAACGAGCTGACAACGCATGTATCATGAATGTAGGGTGTCTGCATATATTCTTGAATAAATCATTAAACAATGCAGATTGCTTGCGTTCCTATCAATCTAATTCTCGTCGACAATAATCGTTGGCTCACTATTACAAGGTTCTAAGTTACAATTTTAGTACTTATTTAGTTATTAATGCTACAAGGTTCTATGTGTCATTAGCTACAGTTTTGCAAAAACAAACCACTAGATAGCGGCACTTTAACTACAAAATATTCAATTTTACATAGTTCTATGTTGTTTTTTTTTACGATAACAAAATAACGAAGTTCTATGCAAAAAATTACTAAACTTCATTAAAATTAATATAGAACCTTGTAATAGTGAGCCAACGATTATTGTTAAAGGTCATCGTGAGTATAATTATTAGTTACAATACAAATTCATAACTGCTTTGTTATATACAGTGTTACAATTAAAATATCTTTCTTTTTTCTTCTTTCATTTCTTTCTCCTTCTCTTTTCTTTGAATTTTAAACTTGATTTTAAAATATTAATGTGGATTGTTTTATTTAAAATGTCAAATATTCGCATAAATCTAAGAGAGTATTCTAAAGTGTTACAGTATTGTTCCTTGCAAGCCTGTATAAAACAATATAACTCGCGTCATCTAAAAAGAACGCTGGAAGAAAGTGGAGAGGGTGTGCTTGCGCATGGGTATACTCGCGCACAAAAGTACTTAGCCTATTATTTTATTTTTCATAGCATTTCGCTCGCGGCTTCATATATTAGTTATTGGTCACATAGGGACATTGAAGAATATATTAGATAGAATATCATTAAATAGAATTCTATTCATTATTAAAATATGTTTGATTCAGTGCAGAATGTTTAATCTACTTAAAAAAAATTAAATTAATACGTTTAATACATTTTTTTTATTATTAACTGCATTATTATAAGACTCTTTGTAAAAAAATATACGTCAAAAACAATTTTTCTCTTTTCTATATATAAAACCATTTCGTAATTAAAAACTTTTGTGTGCGCGATGGTATTTCGAACTGACGAACCAATAGCGCGCCGGCAAGCATGCGGCGCGCGCCCCGCCGCCCCGCTTCTTACCACCAATTTGACCGATAAATCACTTCTGCGCAGCTTGACAGCCAGCGTTCTTTTTAGATGACGCGAGTTATAGCAGTCACTCAATTTAACTAACATTGGCATTGATATTATGATTTCACAACACATTTTCCATTATTATTATTATATTAATAAAAAATCAAATTTTTAAATCATTCAATATTTGTGTAAAAATTTAAAACACTTGTAAATTGTCATATTTCGAATCAATAATTAATTAAGTGAAAATATAAACCGGGGTTACATTTTTTAGCTTATATAGTAAAAATTTGGTTTTTATTACTAATATTGTTTATGCGAGTAAAGCTGTCAATGCGTCTAAGAACTGGGTTCTCTGAGATATCGGCACTGTGATGATTGAGGAGTCTACGAAGTCCAGTGACACTGATATTCCGCTTTTAGTGGCTGCTTGTTCGAATGCTGCTCCGAATAAACTGTAAAAAAAATTTAATTCTGAAGTAAAACTTCTTAAGGCGTGATTGTGGGTTAGTTAATAATACATATATTGGAAAAATGAGTGTCGCGGAAGTGAGAGTAAATTTATTAAATATTAATAATTAAAAAAAAATTATAATTATGTTTTATAAAAATGAATATTTATTACTAATACTTATATTTTGATTTGTTTTGAATTTAATTTAATTGCGGTATCTGCCACAGCGTAGCGGGAAGTGAGTGAAGAAGGGAAAGATAGTAGTAGAAAAAGACGGTTAGAAAGAGAAATAGAGTCGAGAGAAAGAGAGGGACATAGAGAGGAAGAGAGTGGTAGAGAGTGAGGAAGTCTTCTTTGTATTGTAGAGTAGTGGTCGTACTTGCGCGGGTCCTGGTGGTGGTGCGGCGGCAGGCCCAGCAGCAGCGCCCGAGCCGCGCACAGCAGCGGCCGCGCCGGCGCCGCGCGCGCCACCCAGCGCGCCGCCGCGCCCAGCCACAGCGGGCCCGCCACCGCCGCCGCCTCGGGCACACCCTGCGAATTATGTATGTACTGATTATATAAGAAAACACAAGACTAATTAAGCAAAAAAATATAAGATTTTAATCTATGATACCCTCCGCAAAGTTCCCGGCTACGGCGACCAATCCCACTCAGAGTAGACTTTGAAGACAAAGTGAAACCTATCGAAGCATAATATACAACTTAAACTAGCGACTTAACCTCGCTTCGCTCGGGTTTATCCCTAGATACGACTTAACAGTTAGTATGGAATAGATAGATTATATATTATATATAGCCTATAGCCCTCCTCAATAAACGGGATATCTAATGCAAAAAGAATTTTTCAAATCGGATTATTAGGTTTTGAGATTAGCGCGTTCAAAAAAACTCTGCTGCTTTATAATATTAATTATTATAAATAATTAATAAGCATTTTAAAAAATACTAAAAACCAATAACATTTACTCACCTCCTGCACAATAAAATAATTGAATGGTCCAGCCAGCATCAGTCCCCGGGACGATAAGATATTGTGAACTAGTCTGGCTACCGCCTGCAGGGTCTGCTTCGCTGCTGCTATGCCTTGCTTCAGGGCTTCGTTCTCTCCGGATACATCAAGGCATGCGAGAGCTAGCTGAAATCCTTCTGCTCGGGGGATTGTTTCCTGGAATGTATTTAAATTAAATACACAATATGTACTAAATATATTATAATTAGGGCAGTGGTAGCACAGTGGTAACACACTTGTTTGGGAATTAAGTGAAGCGGGTTCAAATCCCAGATTTCGCATCTCTGATATTTTCATACCAGAATAATTTCCAACATGATTACCACTTGTCTTACAGTGTTGGAAAACATCTTGAGGAAACCTGCACGTTTGAAAAAACCTAGCAAGTTCACGAAAGACATGCAAAGTCCGCAATCACTTAGCCAGGGTGGTGGACTATCGCCTGATCCTACTCGTATTGGGAGGCTCGTGCCCAGCAGTGGGTTGTTAAAAAAGGCTGAATACTTATATTTAAATTAAGATACATATATATATACTAACTATATGAAAATAAAGGACCTCAGGATATCAGCAACTGTTCTATCTGTCTAGTTGGCATTAATTATTGTTATATTTTCTACAATTTCCACCGATAATCAAACTTACGACCTCACTATATTCTGCCCACATAGCTTCATTAGTATGTACTGTTTAAAGTATGACTTAACTACAAAATCGAAGAAAGACCATGATAATATACCAATGATAATCTTTTAATGTATTTTGAAACATTTCTTTAATTTCGACTCTACTTACATGTTCAATAAGGGCCATGATAGCATAAACTACATCTAAAGCAGCGACCACAGGTGCATGAGGCCTTTGCAACAGGAACGTGGCTCGAGTGGGAGTGGGCAGCTTGTGCTTAGCTGCCGCTGTCTCCAGGGATGTGAGGAGTGACCTCCGGAGGTCCACGTCCATTGATCTGTACGCTTGCCTTGCTTGTTGGAGTGGGAAGCTGGAAATGATAATGCTTTTGTTTAATATATATTAGTTATATTCTGTTTAGATGCCAGTGGTGGTTAAGTGTTCTTCTTTTTTATTAATAGTAAATATGTTAGAACATTAACGCAGCACTATCTAGTTCCATGGTAAGCTGAGGCCTGTGTTATGGTAACCAGATAATTTATACACTACACATATATAACTTTAAATACAACATCTTATAAATACTAACCAATTGTGTTTAGGTTATTATACTAGTTGAAATAAATATACAACAATGAGATTTTCATCAATCATCAATTATCATATTTTTTTTTAGAAAATAAAGTATTATTTTTATTATTAATGTAAATTGAACCTTAAATGCAATGCTTAGAGTTTTCACAAAAAAATTCTAAAAGTGCGCTCAAATGTTCAAATGGGCAATCATTCGTTGAGGACATGTTTTTGTCGCTGATTGTTTATCCACTAGCTAGTATTTTTTTAATCGATGGCCAGTGTACTAACCCCATGTCGGCCAGCAGCTGGCGCAGCCTGGCGGCGCCGGAGCGCGCGTGCAGGCGCAGCGCGGGCGCCAGCGCGCTGTGCGCCAGCGCAGCCTCCAGCGACCACCAGCGGTACAGCGGCAGCCACGCGTCCTTCTCTACCACCACGCGGGCGCCCTGAAATTACACATACTTATTTAGTTATTTGCTAATATTATTTATGTACCTACTTAATTTGCCTCTCTAGGGAATGTGACATCTAGCTACCTCCCATATGTTACCCCAGACACACTGGAAGTGAACGATGGATGGTGTTCAGTGCCAGATTCAACCTTAGCACCGCCCTTGGGCATAGTAAAAAATGCCGCCCGCCCTATTATCGAAACTTTGCATAAAATGGGTAAAGTTTCGATGATATTTTTTGTTTAATTGGAAAATGCAAAAAATTAATTTATAAATGAAATTAATTTTTCGAAAAATTTACCTACTCGTTACTCTTTTTTTATTTTTTGGAAAATAAAAAAAAGCATTTTCGGTAAGGCGAAGAAATTTTTTTCTCGCCCTCCGGATTTTGTCACCCCTAAAAATTTGCCGCCCTGGGCACTAGCCCCGTGTGTAAATACAGCGCTGGTCGGTGTACCATATGGGTTCCTCCAGGCACTATTCTAATACTGGCTTTTTTAGTTGGCGAGTCCCACAATTTTTCCCAACGTTACAAAATAAGCGTCAAGTCATTAATATATTATAAAAAAATAGATACTAACAAACATAGAATTAATTATCTTTTCTGAAGCTAAAATATTATCAGACTAATATTACAACTGTGTATGTGCTAACTTACCCTGGCTTCCTCTTTGTGTAAAAGAGAAAGCTAGGGTGAGCATTGATCAAAAAAGTACTGAATTTGAACATTTGAGTGCGCCTTAAATTTTTTTGTTTTGTGAAACAACTTTAAGCATTGCATGTAAAGTTCAATTTAGATTGTTGTATGTTTATTTCAACTAGAATAATAACCTAAATATAATTGGTGACAGTCTTAGGAGAATTTTTGCATGGGATTGTGTATCTAGTACTTTTCTGATCGGTGAGGGTAAGTGAGTATGGTCAACTCACAGTGTACACGTCGTCGCCATGCAGCTGCGCGGCCACGTAGCGGTGCAGCGGCTCGGCGTCGAGCAGCGCGCGCGCCGGCGAGCGCAGCTGCAGCGCCGCGTGCGCCGCGCCCGCCGCCGCCGCCGCCCACAGCGCGCGCACAGTGCAGCGCGAGCAGCGCGCCGCCAGCTCTAATGCCGTGCACGCGCTCTGGAATACATTTGGTTTTTTGAAGTTATGCTTCTTTTCGCACATTATAAAAAAATATAAGAGTAAAATTTTTACGATTGACGACAGCCAAAAAGCTACATGATGAAGTTAGCTGAAAGCGAGATAATAATATATATATTTTTTATGATTTCAACAGCTTTTTTTCTGAATGACAATCTAAATTCAGCCTTAATCTAACAATGGTATATTAAAAAAATGAAGAAGGTATAGTTTAAAATCACTTGATCACTCAGTCTTAAAAGGCACCATCACACCCAAATAATTGCCGTAATGTATAATAAAAATGCACTCTGTTTAAATTAAATATAATAGTGAGAATTATTTGTAAATAATGCCCATTTTTAATTTTTATTAATTTTGTATTAAAAATATAACATATAAAACTTACTGGTTTTCCATAATAGGAGAACTGAGTATAATTAAACATTAGTGTGTGTCGTTTTTCCTCCCATGCTTTTCTTTCTCGTCTCTTTTCCACAATTGTTTCAATATCTTCCCTGCCTTCCGTCTCCTCTTCCTAGAATTTATTAAAAACAAAAATTCAATCCAATTCAATTTTCCTGTTAATGGCATCCAAGCGTACCAGTTGAGTGCAGATTACTTCCCTAATGTCATTAAGAATGCCGAAGAAGATTGGTCTATTTACAAAAATTTATACATTTTTGTACCTCACATTTAATAGATTGCTGTGTCCAAAAATAACTTACTGTAATATAAATTATTATTATGTTAACGAAACTAATATTAGTATGAAAAAATCAATATGAGGTAAAATTTCTAACAGCCCCTAAAACTTCTTTTTTATATGAAAAAGCAAGGTAGTGGCAAAGTATTAATTTTTTTTTTAAATTAACCTCTAAAGAGGTTCAAAATCAGGTAAGGTATACTGGAAGTTTATCATTTTTTAATAAGTTTATAGAACTAATAGAAAATCCCATCACATGCAAAACTTATTATGATAGATATTTCTAGAATTACTTAAACTAGCATATAAGTTATCCCAAAAGCAGAATACTTACCTCTTCCTCATCATCCCGGAATATATCATCAAAATTTGGAATGTTCTCCTCTTCGTCTTTATAAATAAGTCTTACCTGAAAATAAAACATCAGCCTTTTTCATTTGAAAAATACTATTTAAATTAATATTACAAAATAAAATGTACCGACCTGACCATCGCTATATACATTACATATGTCAGTAGGCTTGTGAGAGTCCAGAACAAAGAAAATTACATCTTCTTCTGGTTGAAGGATATCTACTAAGTCTATGGTCCCGCCACAATTGATTAGTACAACATATTTAATTTCTTCATTGTTTTCATCATATGCAGTTTTCAACTCTGATATACCCCCAACTGGGACCAAAGTGTACAAAATATTATCACATTTAAACAAGTCTTGAAGTATTTTACACGCACAAATCGAATCCACATCGTAATGAACTAGTAATAGTACCCTCTGGAAGAAAGTTCATCATTAAAAACAATAACCCATGTGAAAATTTTATATAATAAACAAAAACGATACATACGTTGCCTAGAAGAACATTATAAAAATCATTTCTAATATCTTCTATAAACATTTTACGAGCTCCTCAAGTTTGAACAAAAGAAGATTTTATGAAATCATGCTTTTGTTAAATGTAACAGAAAAACACCTGCTCAAAACACTACTAGAAAAATTGTCAAACTTCTCCTTTCAAAGTTTAAACTGTCACTTTTTGTTCTCTTATTCCCGCCAAAATTTAGATGCGTTCATTTTTACGACTTTTTTCACATGTTATCCTGAACGTAAAGTAAAAATATAATCATAATTTACTAGCAATCATGGATGACAAATAAAATAGATGAATTAGTTCCATACGAGCTCTTGGTGGATCTATCTATCCCTTTCATTTGCTTGGTAACTAGCATGCTATCTCTACATTTGGCGACAACGAGTGGGACAACAACTTATTTCTGTCGCAGTTACATACGTCACTACTGTGACGTCACTGCAATATTTTGTCATTTTTGAAATTTTCAAGTTTTAACCGTTGTTATTACTCGCCCCTGGGGACTAGGGTATGAGGGCTTGCAGTTTTTATATTATTTTACACTTTAAATTTACATTTTATCAATTTGTAGATTAGTATTGATTAATGTGGATAAGTGCTGATTAATGTAGATCAGTGATATAGTTAAGATTTGTGCTTGGATACAAAATTTGTGATTTCTTAATTAGTGTTTCTCTTCCTTTTATTGGTTTTTTATTAATGTTGTGTAATCATGGGAAAGCATTATAATTCCGAATTGTCAGGAAGGAACAGGTTTTTCATGCCATAGAATGCCTTATAAAGATGCACTTCAATTTTATAACGTATACTTATAGAAATTCTTATAAACAGGATTTATTTCTAGAGTAACTCTATCTGACCAGGTTTCTGCCAATGTAGCTGCAATAAATTCATTAATTTCTGATACTAAGGTAAATATACTTTGTAGTGCCAATGATGCATCAAGTGCTATCCATTATGAAATTAATGGGAACAAAACCTATCATAAGTATGATGTACCTCATTTACTGAAATGTTTCAGTAATAATTTTTAGAAAAAGAATTTGCTCCTAGGCAGTCAGCATGCTCAATGGGATTATGTTCATATGTTGTATAAAGTAGATGACCATAAAGGTGCTGCAAGGCTAACAAATTTACTGACAGGCATATTTATCCAAACTCTTTTGTTAAGATGAAGGTAACTATATTGTTAAGTTAAGTAAATTAAGATATTATTATATTACTTTAGATCTTGGATATTATCTTATATTTAATATGAAATTGTTTTTAAGAAGGAAACTTCTTGAAGCTATTGATATTATTATACTATTCTATTCTAATATGTAAAATTGAAGAGTTTGTTTATTGTTTGAATGCACTTATCCATGTAATGCTCAGTCCATTAAAAACAATTTATCAACTATATAGCCTATCTATTGTATAATGTTAAAAGCTATTTAAGGGCCTAATTGGCTTATCTACCTAGACCCTAATAATAATAAACTATTACTATATTTAAATAAGCTACTATTCATCTATAGTAGTTACTAGTACATATACTATAGTTATGGTGACTATTTGTTGTATTACATTAATTTATTATAATAATATATTTACAGGTGAAGTATATGCTGCGCAGGTGTTTCAGCAGTTGAAGTGTTTCAACATCTATAAGTCTCCTGATAAAGGCTTTTAGTTTCCAGGAAGAACACAATTATTGTAATACATTAAATGTAAATATTGAGAATGGCTTATTCACAGCTGAGATTATTTTATTCATTAATAATAAAATACATGATCCTTCTAAGAATCTGTCATCTCTATTAGGTATGCAATTTACATAATTGAAAGAGAATTACCAAAGATTTGTGAAGTTTACATATTTCCCGACTTAATAAAAGCATTTGAAAATCTTGATACCTCTTGGTACACTTGTGTAGATCATAGAGAAATATTTTTAAGAGCATTCTCATTATTTATGATATGTATAAAAGTTAAACAAAGGTGTATAAATTTTAATTGAAGAATGCATAAAGTGGATTCGAGAAAAAAGGGTCTGGAAATAGAAAATTTGCTTAATATGAAAGTTTCAGAAGGGCCTAGCTATGGTTGAACTCATCTAGTCTTCAGAGTAGTGAATGATTTTCCAATATTTTTTCATTAATTAACTTTTAATATTTATTACTCTTGTTTGTTTCATTTCTTGGTTATTTAAAAGATAATCACTTAGAATTTTCCATTTTCATTATGTTTCTAATATGTATAAAAATAATGTATGAATATTTCATTTGATTTCTGTGAAATAATATTATAATTTCTTAAAATATACTACTATAGCAGTATATAATTTTAATATATTAATTATAATTGTTACATTTGATAGAACTATGTATTTAGAAATTTTATTTTAGAGTATGTTTAGCTGTTATTTCTTTTTACACCAAATTTTTACTATTACTATGTACATTTTGATTTTAAATTTCTTAAGCTTTTAAGAAAATTAATTTTATTATTCATTTTTTTTACTGAAATTTGCATTTTTTTTTAATTTATATGAGATTAAAATGTTTGTTTTTTCAAATGCGCTAATCTCGAATCTTTGCATTTTATAAACTGAAGATGAAGGTGGTTCTAGAGCTAAAACTTCAAACAAAAGCTAGATTTTAATTTATACCTACAATTAAACCTACTACTCGCTTAATATGATATTGTTATTAACAAAAACTATTGTTCTATGTTACTTCTAATTTTATTGCATTGTAATATTTTATACCAAATCGTTGTACTAATTTATATTTTTTGTATTTTGTATTCAATTGATAAAATTCTTTAAAAATGTCCTTTTATTGTAATAACAATGTATTATAAATGTTAAAAAAAAGGTTATCCCGTCAAGGACCTCAGTCCTTGCTAATTCTTCTCAGGTCTGAAGCATTTTTCCGAACTAGTGGTAGCATTAAAATAGTAAAATAAAAAAACGAGAAACCTATCTTTGTATTTTATTTCTAATTATAATTAATATCATAAAAATGAAAACCTTACTATAAAACCGATAACAGTTGTTGAATACCGATAACATTACGATAAAATACATCCCTACTTAATCGTAATGAATACCGATTTTTACATCACTACGAACTAAATTCTCCCAGATTCGCATATGACGTCATACCCTTAGAAAGAGATGCGTGGCGACTCAAAAGAAATACAATAGCCGTGAAAGTGACAGCATATTTTGACTTGCCATTTATGCCATAACTGTCCCCATATTAAGGCAAATATCATGACACAGCTCTAAAATATAAATCAATTTTTATAACATAAAAACCTATGTTAATAGATATTTTATGTTTGATATGAAATATAATTAAAATATAAGATATTCGATAATAGTTAAAATCATTTAGAATATAATTATATAAATCAATATATAGCACATATGATTTATAAAAAAAAACATTTTAAGCATATTTAACTTAAGTATATTTTATAATATAATAAGATATTAATCAACATATCCCATGTAGCTATTTTTAATTTATAATGGTTAAATCGGGAAAAATCTTTCTTTGACTATCTTGACCCCCCGGCCCCCGCTTCGTCTTATTCGCCTTCGGTTTTATGAATATGCGCTTGTATGGAGCTCGGCCGGGGCTGCTAGCAATATATAACAACACGGGTATTAAAAATACTCTAAAAATAAATCTCATACAAAGTACATATTCTAATGTTAAGTTGTTAGTTTAAAAAAAAAAAGGTCAATGTCCTTTCGCACTCCACGTACTTTTAAAAGATTTGTACATTACATATATTTTTTAAAACAAATACAACTATTACGTTAGAAAAAGTAAAAATCCCAAAATAATAGTTGTAATTTTTTTGTCTGTTTGTAATTTGTATATAAATTATTACATTGCAATATGCGCATTTCACGCAAAAAGTACTTACTGAACCGATTTAAATAAATCCCTATATAGTTTTTTTTCTTTTAAAAAATGTATAGTACTCGGATTAATATTTAGAATATTTTATAGTACAGGAAAAAAATTGAAGTGTTTGTAATATCAAAATAACAGATGTTTACTAAATGCATTAGAAATTATATACGAGTAAAAATTATATAGATTATATTCTAAGATATATACGGTACTTATAAAAAACATTTTTTAACATTTTTGTCAGTCCGTCGTTTGTTCCGGCTAATCTCCGAAACGACTGGACAGATTTTGACGGAACTCTCACTGGCAGAGAGCTGATGTTAGGAGTAACTTAAGCTAATAATTAGGGTTCGGCTAAAAAACGTACACAGAGACGCACCCGAGCGAAGCGAGAGGGCAAGTAACAAATAATAACAAGTAAATTATGTTTAGTTTAGTAGTTTATTTACAAAACGAAATTTTTAGTACATTTAATCTTATTAAATACATATTATATTATTTATCTAGACATTCAATTTCCTTGCTGTTCATCAATACAATTTTTTTTCTTTTTAAAGCATTCAACATGATGATGTGCTATTTTATATGAAATTGTGCCCGGCCTTAGTAAGTTACTAGAGACCGCTCTGAAATAGGATTTCAAAAGAGTTTCTTCCGTTTCTTCCGGATACAAATATTCATTTAATGTGTAACATAAATCACTTTCTGGGCAATCTAAGGCTCTAAGACAGCCTGCATATTCCGACCATAGCAATTTACGCCATTTAACATTGTGCCTCTGAGCGAGAGGAACTAAAACACATGCAGCGAACGTGTGATCTCCATAACTGACCGACTGGAACTGCTCCAAAAACTGTGTGTAAAAGTCTTGAAAGTTGTGTAATCCAGTAAGTTCCTTATCAAAGTTAAATCTATCATGTTTCCTGAAAAGAACCTGTGTGCATTTTCTTAATAGAATTTTTATTTTATCATCCAAGAACAATGAATTATCACAAAGAAATACACACATAAGTCTACAAAACCTATCGGTGTGATTGATATCATTTAAAAGATCTGGAAAACATATTTCATTAAACAAAATCCACTCTAAGCTACATCCTATTATTAGTTTTTTTTCGGTCGCTAGTTGCTGTGCTGCTTGATTTGCATTTTGACCAACAACTGTAGGAGTAGGTTTTACTTCTTGGCTTCTGCTATATAGAGACAATATTGGTAAATATATCCAGTCTCTCGGTAATACTGGTTCTTGCCACTGCTTCAGAACTACATTACCAGTAATATCCAGTGGATTTAAATTAATAACCTTGCTATAACATGCCTTTATATCTTCCACATTAATCAGAACATTACTAAAACTCTCTGCTTCTGATAAAGACACAATGTTTAAAAGTCGCTCAGCTGTAAACCACTCCCTATTAAATATAATATTTTTGAACAAATATTCCAGTTCATATTTCTTGTCCACTCTTAAAATATAACAAAGTTTACTGGCAACAGCATAAATAAGATCTTTTATAGATTCTGAAATGTTACTCTGAATGGCTAGTCTAACAATGCTGAAAACTAATTCTACTTCCATTCTTGTAAACCAATTGTTAGTCAGACTCGGTGGTTTCTTTGATAAATCTGTTATATAGTTTATAATTTGATTAACATATAACTTTCCTATTTCTTTTTCATTAACAACATTCAACAGTTTAAATAAGGATACTAAAAATGGAATAGGTGAAACTATGTTTAGCATCGGAAGTACTTTATGTGGCGAATCTATTACAGATGTTTTAAGAGTTACAAGATTTTTGGTGGAATATAAATCTTTATCATCTATAGCAGAAAGAAGATTTGAACTTTGGGATAGGTTGTTTAAAAGAAGCTTGAATCCATTAGACATTGCTAACATTTTCAAAGTATCATTTAAAAATTTGAATGTAACCTTTTCATTAAACAAAATTGTCTTACAACAGTCAACAGCGGAACAGAGAAGTCTCAAATGTCCACAAGTGTAATTATCAAAATGGGCTGTTTGCATCAACCATTTTTGTACTCCTTCTTTTAATAATGGATATATCTGCTGTTTATAGTTCTCTAAGTTAAGCATATTGCAGTTCAAAAGCTTAGTAATATACTGTAACACTACTGCAGCATGAGTGGCTGATATGACAGAGGTACTCATAAACAAATCAGTCCCCTGAACATGTTTGTATAATGTAGTGATCACTAGTGGAAATAGAGACAATGCATTTTGAGTTCCAAGTCCATAATTGAGTAAATTTGATAAAATACAGAATGCTTCTATTTGTAGCCTCAAGCCATATGTACCATCTACTCCAGAACTTATATATTCCGATATAGGTCTCAAAATGTCATACTTTGTCAGTAATATTTCATCAATCTCTTTGGATTGTAGTGATAGAATTCTTAAGAGTTTGAGGGCGGCCAGAATTGGTTTTCCACTATAAACTATGTTAGGATCAAATGTAAAATTAATACTTGTTGTCGGAATAAAATGTTTCATTATAGTATTCATTAAATGATCGGTATCAACAATGATTCTTGCAGTTTCAGTGGAATCCCTAGACAGTCTTGTTAGTATCTGAAGTGCATACTGAACACAGTTAAAACTTGGTTTTACAGTTTCCAAAATATAAAACAGGCGTTGCAAAATATCTGTTCTTAGAATGGCTGCAATTAGATCTATTTCTGCGAGATGAAAATCTTTTAGTTCAGATTCTTTGGATTCTAGATCCTCAATTTCTGACTTGTCATTTTCTAAACATGGCTGAAAGGTGCCTTCTTCAAATCCTAACATAGCATCAAGGCATGCTTCATCTATTCTATTCAATAATAAATTTCTTATAGCTTTTAATGCTGGTTCTAGTAATATAACCTTATTTTCATCCATTGCAATTCTGATAACAAAAAAGATTTTACTCAATGGTAGTTCTATAATATCTTTATATATCCCTGTACTATTATACTCAAGAAGTCCTGCTAATGTATTTAGAGCCATCACCCTTTGCTGTGTTACACTTGATCTAGTTAGTTCAAATAGTTCAGTTACTGAATATCCAGGTCTATGAGGTTCCCTACCATGGTGGAACAAGGTTTTAGTTTTTTCAGTATATTTTATGGTATATGGGAGAAGATAACCTTTGAAATCAAACCTTGCCTCATAAGGTTCATCAGATTTAATTTTTCTACTTTCTTCAATGCCTTTCATCCATTCCAATTTATCTTTTTCTAAGTTTTCAAAATGAAGCCATTTATTTAGTTGTGGATGTGATAAAATATCATTTTCCCAGAGTGAATCACTTTCAAATTTATTAACACTTTTATCAATTTCAGTTTCAAACTTTAGATTAATGATATCCATTTTAGCTTCATCACTATTTGATTCCAACACACTGTTTTTGCTAACTTTGCTACGATTATGCCTTAAAAAGTTTATAACTTTGGAGTCCAAGGTAGAAAGTAATTTCTGTTGTTCTTGAAGGATTTCATCTTCACTCATTTCACTCAAAACTTTAATGTTTTCATTATGTATAGCATTTGCTTCCTGGCTTGAAACAATATAGCTTTGTTGTGGAAAATTTAAATCATTTACTTCATTCATCGTTAATTTTGAACTTGATGGTTGATCAATATCCATCTCTATGTCTTTCTCTTTTTTCAACATATCTAAGTTTTGTGCATGAATGTTTTTAGAGGCCGGTTTTACATTCGGATCTCGCTTAGTTACCTCTGGAAAACCTTTAGATGGTAATTTGAAGTCCATTAATGCACTTACATTGAATAATGATACATTTTTTTCAACAATATTGCCAAGAATTGATGGTATAACTTTTGGATAGTAAACTTTATCGTCATCAGGTTCTGCCGATTTTTCGTCAGTTTCTTCAACATTCTTTTCTAAAATATCACCCATAAGAGACCCTGTGCTAGTTTCTGTACGAGCTCGTTTTTCAATATTGGCTAGACCTTTAGATTGAGCATATTTCGAAGGTTTTCTTGTACTTAATGAAGCAGAAGAATTTGCTCTTTTAGTAGTTTGATGTTCTGTTTTTCGTAAATTAACAACTTGTGCTGCCGGTTTAAAACTTTTGTCTTTGAGAAACTCTTCTTGCATGCGGAGTATATCATCTTCGCTTTCTTCGGGCTTAGGTCTACGGATCATTTTGTTACCTTAGAATAATGTTCAAAGATAAATACAAGTTACATTATAAAATTCAATTCAATTCTACTGTTTAGTGGCTTCTAGGTACAATAAATGCATTAGTATTTAGTCGCAATTCGCAGAGCTACTGAGTAGCGACTAGCGAGTACTGTCAAGTGTCAAAGTGACAGACCAGCAGGGCTGCCAGTACACAGTAGGGTTAACTTATTTTTTTAAGACATCATTCAAAATGCTGACAAATGTCTGGCGACAGCTTAAAATTATCTGAGGAATTTAGAAGTGAGCCAACCAAAATGTGAAAAGCATTAAGCAAGCATTAATAAATTCTTTACTGTACTCTAAATTAATATAGCAACTTTACACTGCATAGAGTAATAATGAACATCTCAAAATTATATAATTGTAGACCTTCCAAAGGCCGTAAATGTGCAATTTGGTTTTATAAATATACAACGAAACGCTCTATCTTCGTATCCACTAGTTCTTCTATGAATAAGATTCAAAACAACCAAAGAAAAATATTTTTAAGCATTCTATAACATTATTATAAAAAATAGCTTGAGCATTTTTTCCTCCAACTACATTTCTCCTGCTTCTTTTTTGTAATTATTGTTATTACCTCGTCTGTCGATCGACCTTTTAAAGGTCGATGTCAAAAACACCCCTGTCTGTCAAGCGACCTTTTAAAGGTCGATTGGTCCCGATGTCATTTAATGTGTGATTTCTCGCATTTAAACTATATTTATTTTTATCTAACTTTTGTAACGTGTAAAGAAAAATACAAGCAATAATATCATACTACATGTCAAAAAAGTAATAACTCCAATAACATAAATTATTGTAATTTGTGCAGACAATTTATTTAAATTTTGGCGGTCTTTGAACTCAATACTTGTGAGTAAAAAATTAACAAAATAGTGTAAAATTATTAGTATAAGGATTGAAATATGATGGAAGGGTAAGTAATTAACAGTTTTTATGTCATAGGATGTGTATTGAATAGAGATTTTATACAGAAATTGTTATATTTGTCAAACATCGTAAGCATTCACGCGCGCTTAGTCCTTATATTTTCACTTTTTCTGAATAAAAAATACACTAGTGATAGCATAATATTTTTATTAACATGATTTAAATTTATAACTAAATAACTACGTATAATTGAATTTGTAAATTTTCTATTAGATTTTAAGTAATTAATAATATAATAACACGTAACCCAAATTCGAGCCGCCATTTTTGACGGCTGTTGGATAGTATGGGGAAGGCTTTTTTAATATTCATTAGAATATTTTCATTGATATTTTTTAGGATTATTTGAAATTTTATATTTTATAAATATTTTAACTGCTTTTCTTAAAAAAAATTGATTTTTAGAAAAACAGTACGATTTTTATTTTACAGATATAAGTTCAACTTACACATTACTTTAAAACATTATAAAAATAAAAAAACCTAACTGCATAATAGCTAACTAAAAAGATAAAAACAAGTTGACGAAGGAATGAAGTATTATGCAGTTGGTGACATACACATGTACATCTCGCGACAAGGATGAAATGTATTTTTTTATTTACAGCTTTTTAATTTTATTAGAAATTTGAAGTTATAATAGGTCTTTTGAAATTGCCGTTCTACAATACTTACTGGCCATTGGAAACGTAATTTATGATTGGCCGGCAATAAATTCTAAATTCAAATGAATTTTATTTTAAAAGTATGGAGTTCTATTTTTGAATTCAGTCGTTTGTTTATTAATTAGTGTTTTGTTTTCACTACATTTGTTTGTTTTTCATCAATATAAACACAATAAAAATACGAGTAATTATGAAATACGAGTTCCATCGCGGTAGCAATCCCGCACAAACGGCTCGCAACATTAATGACGCGTACGGAGTGCCGAGTGAACACTACAAACGAACGCACAACTCGTTATTGGTCTGAACACTTCCAACAACGAAATTTTGATCTTAAAACATTAACCCCGTGGTCGCCCGAAAACTAAAATCAGTAACGACGCATTAAAGGCGATAGTGGAAGTTGACGATACTCAATCTGTGGCTGAGATAGCAGCAGCTTTCAACGTTAGCATCAAAACAATATTGGTCCATTTGCATCAAATTGCATCAATAGCATGGGTGCATATTTTGATTAATGGAAATGAAAAATATTTATAAAAATACAATAATTTAACTTTCTGTATATTAAACGACAATTTCATAGGTAAAGACTTAATATTTAGCAATTACCTTTAAACATGTAAGTTGTGTTCTCTTAATTTTTTTTGTGATCACCAAAAATCTTTATTTTAAAAGCCCATTCGATTGATTTGGAAAAAAATTTTACAGACAAATTGGCGCCTGATATCCGCCATTTTACTTTTTAACTATTTTTAATTTTTAACTATAACGCGAGTATTATAGGCTATATATAGCTTATGACACTCGCGTAAATACGAAACTAACGACATATGAATCATAGAAATCGGCCCACGCGTTTGGTCTCTAGAGTGTCATACATACATATGTACATACATACGTACATAGACTGATAAACACATTACCCTCCTTTGCGTCGCGCAGTCGAGTAAAAAATAAGTTTATTTGCATCTCTTAAACTAGTATCATGTTGCATTTTATGTTTATTGAAGCTGCACCAAAATTGCTTAAAACATGCCTTATTAGATTACAATATTATGATCGGAGGGTGAACAAGAAAGACCAATTGTAGGCAATGTACCCCATAGAGCGAAAGCGAACAAGGGTGTAGTATAAATAACTGTTTATTAAAAAAAACCGACTTCCAGGCACTAAAATGTAAAAAATAGCTAAACGGAGGTTTTCATTTAGAATAGATACCTAATCAGATATTTTCGAAGTCGGTGCCAGCCGACAATATTTTAAGATATAAATATCTAATACGTAAATATGAATTTTATGTATCGAAATATATTAGATTTACTTTGCATCGGCTGGAACTGACTTCGAAAATATCTGATTTATATATTATACCACGCCTTTGTTTGTTTCGACGACGTGACTGAACATCGAAGACGTGGTGAACATTATATGGGAGGAGGTTAGTATAGTTACTTATGTATCTTTACTTAGTAATAATAAGTATTTGCTGCTTTTAGGATAGGTGTTCATCCTTTTTTTCATTTAAAATATATATGTATAAAAGCCTCTATCTGCAAGCAATATTCATTAAAAAGTGTCCTGTACCTAACAAAAGGCATCCAAAATTTTCTACTTCAGATTTAAAACATCTGTGAGTACTAATTACAAAGTTTTTATACTCTACTATATATTTTTTTACTACTATAACTATGGAGTCCATCAAATACTCAATACAGTAACTGGCACAATACTTCAATCTTATAAAATATAAATGAAAAATTTAAAAGTAACCTCGACATGTAATTCACCATTTTGTGGTGGCGACCATCTTGGATTCGAAAATTATACTAGTCAAGCCTAATTCATTTGATACCCATATTGAGGGAGTTGTGAAAAAATACGTAATCTGCTATTTTGTGGCGGCGGCCATCTTGGACCGATTTTCATCAAACATAGCTAAGAACACTTCCGAATTATTCACCTTTCAAAGAAAAAATAAAATCGGATGATCTCTTCAGGAGCTACCATACCACAGACAGACACACAACACACAGCACGTCAAACAAATAACTCCCCGTAGTTTTTGCGTCGGAGGTTAAAAACAGTAGAAAAAAAATAATTCCTCTCCGAATTAATATTTAAAGTTGTTTTATTTTGAATTGATGTTTTATTATCATTTTATTTCCATAACATAATCTGTTCAGATGTGATGGAATTGGTCGTATCCATACTTTTTTAGCTGTCCCTTGTAATTCTTATAGTAAAATTGTTAGTTTACAGAATTGATTTCTGAAATATTCTAATAAGGCAACATGTCTTTTTATTATATTTTTCATTTTGAAATATCACTTAATTGTAAGGTGTAAATATATTTTAAAGAAAATTTAAGCAGAATTTGCTCTGCGATCCAAAGTTTGAGATGACATTTTTTAGCACTTATTTTCTAGTGTTTGGTTTATTGTTCAATTCTCGTAAACTAAATAGTTATAAGAACTCAAACTTTGTCAGTATAACGTACGTGGACTAAACTATAATATAAATGATTATCCTAAATCTCTTGATCTTCAATGCTCTTAGAATTCAAGTATAAAAAACACCTCTTTTTTATCTGGCGCTAAGTCGCCATAATTGAAACATGTTATTGTTAAGCTTGTGGTGTAAAAAAAATGTACAGTGAGTTGTGTTGTTTTAATCAATTAATATAAAATATTGTATCTATAATTAAATGAAATTAAAAGTTTTTAAAATAATAGTTTTATTTTATAATAATTCCTGTTTTCATACTATATACTGATAAAAAATCACTTACAATAATTTCAACTTAGAATTAACTATATAATATTAAATACAATTGATCTTCTTTATATATATATTCTTAGTTTATTTTAAAACGATTCTAACGATATAAGCTTTATATATAGCTTATATATAAAATTTTAATAAATATTGTTATTTTAATGATGCGTACATATTTCGCGCAGGCCCTCGAAAATTAGCCGACAGATGCGCCATATTTTTGTAAAATGACAGCGACAGTTGAGGGGTTATAGAATAATAATAAAGATAAAATAATTTTATAAAATTAACAAATGCCAATAATCTGTTCTAATTACTGATGTCAAGCAATATACTCTATGTGTCACATTCACCTGTTACTAACTACTGTCGAGTGTCGTCTGTCAAGTGTCATTTGATAAAACAAAAACACGTGTTTTTATTGTGGTACATACTTGAACTTCAATGATTTAAAAATGCCTAAAATAAGAAATATTGATAAATTAAAGCACCCCAACAGCAGGAAAACCATTTCACTTGCAAAAAAGATGATTAAAAATGAAAAGAAAAATAGCAATAAACTCGGAACGCACATAAAACAAAATTTAATTGGAGAAAAGATTTTATGGTTCAAAGAAAGACTACCGGAAGGTTGTGTAATATTGACTAAAGAACAAACATTAAATTTGATTGAAACATATCTTGCTCGATTTGATGAAGAGTTAGAACAAATTGCATTAAAAAATTCAATAGGACAAAGAAAAAGCCGTCAACATGCGAGTAGAGAAGATGTTATTAACATTACGAAGAAGAGGGAACTAGAAGAGTTTGAAAGTTGTGGACTCGAAATGCCGGACCTAATGGACGCTCAGCAAATGGAAGTTTTAAAAAATTGGAATGGTGAACTTCGATTTTTACAACATTTTAAATTAAAAAGGGTGGCTAGAAAACATTTGACATAGAAACTTGTTTTTATTTACTTTAATGTAGTTCCTTATTTAATATATTTTGATTTGCACATTGTTAAGTCTTAGGTAAAGCCAAAATAGTAACTGGATATTTTTTTACACATAATATCCCTGCTCTTTTGGCCAGTGTTAGTGACTGCCATATGCCATGAATTGAATATGAGTAGTAATATGACAAAAAGTTTAAATTATTACTATAAAACAGTACTGAAATTATAAGTTTTATGAAGGTTGCAGTAATTTTACAGTTTGTATTCTCCGTTAGGGAAATAAAGTAATCTTTAGGTTTTACTATTTTTTTATTATTAATATTTACAATTTTATCTAATCAATACCATTAAATCCTAATGTAACTAGAGGAAAGATTAAGGAACAAGTTCAATTATTAGACAATGAGAAACAATATGTTGATATAGCATATCAATCTGATATAGCATATCGATCTAAAATCAGTCAAAAAAACAGAAATCACAAACAATTGGGGTAACTGGGTATGTATTAAAATTAAGGTACAAAAATCTTAACAATATTTTAATGACTTAGTAAAACTATTATTACCACAAAAGTTTTGACCAATGTCTTCGTTCACATCTTGTCTGTATAACTTTATTAAAATATCAAATAATTTATCCTTCGCTTATTTCATTAAAAAAGTATAATACAGATAAAATATACAATCATAGAATGAGCAATGCCATTAAATGAAGACTTTATTGTAAAAACTCATTGGAATATATGAAAATGCTTATGAAAATTTATCAATAAATAAATAACATGACATGATACTAATCTAACTAACTACCATAGGATTATTGATGGTTTTTAATGTAAAAATAGGAAGTAGGAAGATATTTTATAACAAAATTAGGGATATGAAGATATTTCATGTAAAGAAATGCAATATTACAATTAAATAATAAATAAGTTCTGTATATGCCAGATATAACTTTACAAATGCATAACATATAATAGTAAAGTATGTACACAACATAATAACCAATGTTACCTCACATCGCAAGGCTTCATGATGAGAACAGATTACAACGTTTTCCACTTTCTGATTCCATTATACTTTCAATGTATGGTATATGACGTGAATCATTAATTTTGTTTAAGTACTGCTATCCCGCTCATCAGACAATATAAACATAAGTTTGTGGTGTCGTAGCCACATTTCTGGTTACTCAGTTTTCATATAGTATGTTTAAATTTATTTTTTGAATACATACTTTTAAATACAAATTTTTAGTTAAAAACGAATGATTTGAGATTATTATTGAAAAATAAGGTATTGGAAGAAAAAACAAATTATTAACAATATTGCTAAATTGCATAGGTGCTAAATTTATATATTGGACAATGTACAAGTTTCTTTATTATACAGTGTCATCAGTCATGTACTGTGTTTGATTTCTCTGAAAATAATGAAACAATACCTAAAATTTTTCTAACTAATACAAAGCTAAACCTGGGTAACGGGATATTTTATCGACATTTCATATGTGCTGTCTAAACATAAACTAGTAGTACTAAAGAAAATGAACCATCTATTCTATGGAGGGTAGAGGAAAGGAAGAGTCTCTTTTATAGGACACAAGTTGAAAAAATGTCCACCTGTATGCTGAATATAGATGGCGCTGACGAACGGAAAACAACGATATGAATTTAGCAGTTGTAGACGGAGTGAAGTGTGTATAGTTAAAAAATTATAAAACTAAAGTAGTTAAAGAAATACCAGTACATATACAGAACATCAACTTTACGTAGTCCAAAATAATTTTGTACCTAAATATAAACATCCTTGTTTATTTCTCTATGTTACTCTTAATTAAATATAAAATAAATTGTCAGGACATTAACACACAACACCACTTAGTTCCATAGTAAGTTACGAGGCTTGTGTTATGGATACCAGATAGTTGATACATATATAACTTTAAATACCTACATATTATAAATATAAAAACCCATGACTGGAGTTCAAATATTCGCGCTCATCACACAAATGAATGACCCCAGCGGTACTCGAACCCGCGACCGCTGGCGCAGCAAGTAGGGTCTCTACAAACTGAGCCAAACGTGTCGTCAAATTACTTTTGGCGCTTCGTTTAAAACTTATCCTACGCTAGCGAGTAGCGCTGCCATATTGGACGCCTCCTCGAACTTACCCTCCATAATCTGTTCTCATCATGAGAAAAAGCTAGTTACTAAAATGTCTATGGCTGATTTTTTACCTTATTTACATAGATAAGTAATAGATAAACTTGTGTTTATATTTTAATCTTGCCTTGAATTTTTTCGATAAGAACTAGAATTTAGTTGACAGATAATATATCAGGTAATTACATAACATCACTTTGTTTACTTCAGAGTTAGAAAAAAAAATGTTTTTTCTTAAGGGAGTGCATTAAAAAAAAACAAAGTAATCATGAAAAAAATCCCAAATAAGCAAACAGGTCTGATATTACTATAGACATTATTAGAAAAAAATACATATATATTCTAATCAAATAACCTGTTATGTTTTTTAATCAATAATTACTTTCATTCAGGCTTATTTCAAGAGAATATTATAATATTTTCACAAGTGTTAAGATATACATTAAAAATGAAAACAAAACATGATTTAACTTGAAAATTAGAGATCAATAAAATATGTATCTTTATATCTTAAGATACAATTACATCATAAAAAAAAACAAATGACGGACAACTTTTACAAAAAAAAATATGCCAGGTGCCTAAAATAATTGTTTTAGATAATCCAATATCTATAAATAACTAGGCACTTCAAGATTTTTTTAAAATATATCCCGTTTTGGGTCCTAAATTTAAATAATTAAATATGAAAATTGATTTTTATATATTTTTTTAAAGCTTCATCTACATTATTATATCAACAGTAAGTCAATGAATATGGTGTTACCAAAATATTATAATTGAAACAATTTTTTTCTCAAATGGTCAATGCCATCATATTTCCCTGTAATCAATTGTTTACAAGACCACCATACAATGAGTCACGGCTGACACAATTATGTAAATTAGACGAATGCTTATAAAACATGGACAGTAGTATTTAAATACTTAATATCAGAATTCATTTTAGAGCTTAAGTATAGTCTGCATCAAATTTATAATTTAACTCGCTATTTTGTCAATTTTTTTTTGCAACACCTGCTATAAACCTCCAAATGGGTACAGAAAAATCATTAATACACCTTTAAAGACCCTTAAATTTTTAGGCAAATAGCAAATAGAGAGCGCGTCATTTAATTCTGTAGGATTTACTTAAACAACTCAAGATGTCTTAAGCGAATCAAGTAAACAAGGGTAGATGGTAAAAGTCGTAGCCCCTTTGTCCTCTAGCGGCTAGCCATATGTAGACCACGTGGTAAGCTCCGGGTACAAAACATATCATACCAGCAACGAAGAAAACAGCTCCCTGTAACCCATTTTCTGGTTCCGCTACTGCGAAGGCACCCATGCCTAGAAGACCTATCCCGACTAAGAGGAGTATGACAGCAGCAAACACGGTCTTCCAGTTCTCCCGCACTTTAGGGTGGTTCCAGCAATAGAGAGATTGTGTCGCTTCTACGTATTCGTGGATAAGAGAGTCCGAGTCCCGCGAGGTGGTGTCCTCTGAACATTTGTATGTTTTACTGGAATAAGAGAAAAGATATCTTATTAAAATGGTAATTCCCTACATAAGGACAACCCTCGGCTAGCCCCGGATTGTTCGAATTCGGATATATCGTAGATTTTTCTATAGTTTTCCTAGTCCTCAGTTTAGATACCCACAGGTAGACATAAATACCTCAAAGTAGTGTGCGAGTTACTTAAGCGTGGGTTAATCGATAGTTTAAATATAAACTTAAAATTACAACAAATTGAAAAACTAACAATGATATTATCATTTTAATTTACTGATAGATGTACCTATGTGAGCGAGTGTGTTTATGTCTGAGTTCAAAAATAAGAAGGTAGCTACTTAGATTGTACCTTTTGTTCGTGTATATAATTATTACACAATGCATTGGCCAATTCTTTATAACAATTTTCATCATTCTTTTTACTATTGTTGCCCAGTAGTTTAATATCGATATCTATATTATATTTTTTTATTGATAACACTAAAAGTTTATCAATAGCTACTCGACAAAAAAAAAGAAAATCGGCTGATAAACAGAGGAAAAAAAGGTACTGAACTGTTTTCTATATATATATATATAAATAAACAGCAGAACCCGCGGCATTGCTCGCACTAAAACTACAAAAAACTCTAAAAATGTAGGTATTATACATACTTTCATCCCCTATAATTTTACCCCTTTATGGGATGAATTTCGAAAAAATGCTAAAACCCGCATTTATTTAATTGCATTGCAGAGCATTCATACCAAGTTTCAAGTAATTGTGATCTTAAAAATTTTTTGGGTTGTATTATAACTTGTTTCCCCGTGGAAATGAAATTATCTCCCGCGGTAAAAAGTAGCCCATGTCACTCTCCAGCCCTCCAACTATCTCCACACAAAAAATCACGTCAATCAGTCACTCCGTTTCGACGTGAAAGAACGACAAACAAACACATTTTAACATTTATAATATTAGTAGATATGGATAGCTAATAAATAGGTATCCCAGGGGCCACTTATATAAATTTTATCCTTAAAGTGGAATCATTACTTTTAAGAGATTTCGAAGTGATCGATGAAATTACTAATTAGTCTGCATAATTAGGATTTAAGGTAGCAGATATCCAGATTTAAAGCACAGAGCAGCTTTCATCGTCGTATCCGTACGAGTGGAGCCTTAAACAAAAATTTGTATAGTACTATCTAAACATATAATAAAATTGTAACTAAGTCAAATCTGTACGTTAAATATTTTTTGGAAAATCTAATTGAAATACTTTATTATCGATATAGAGTCCGAATCTATAGTTTTTAGAATTTTTGTCTGTCTGGCTGTCTGTCTGTTACCGCATCACGAGAAAACCACTGGACAGATTTTGATGAAATTTGGTATGATGATAGCTGGTTATCCGGTTCAACATATAGGATACTTTTACCGCGGGAAAATATCTCATTTCTGAGAAAAAATACAAAAACTGTATTTTTTTGTAGCCATTGTAAGAGTATACTAATGTGTAAAACCTAAGAATTTGGTTTTTGGTCATCTGAACGCGGGCGGAGCCGCGAGCAATGCTAGTAGATAATATAAAAAGTTCAAAATGACATCCACACTTCAGATTAAATACCTACAAACGACCGTATTCACTTCGCTCAGACAACACTTCGCGTTCTCTTCAATCACTCTTTGCTTTATACTAACGTGCCGCGAAAAAGCATGCTATTCTATTTTAGTGAAAAGAATTTGATTTTGGAATTTACCTCCTACATCTTAAATTCTACACAAAAAATCCAAACATACATAAATTTAGTCCGCAATCCGGTTAGATAATTATTACTTTGTTAATTCAGGTAAATTACTTTGCTAACCTAATAATAATCAAAAGCTATCGTTTTCTTAGTAACCATTGGTCGTAGAAGGTACACCAGTGTAGATACTTTTTATATAGATCCTATCTGTAGTGCAATCATCGGTCATAGATATGCTCAGTAGTTACATCAGTGTAACAAAGCAGTGTAACCACGGGTCCAAAGTCGATGAAAACAACAAATTAGCAATTATTTAGGTATGTTCAAGTTACCTTTATTTAAAACACTTTATATTTAAGAGCTTGGAAGCTTCTAGATTTATTTAGTTATAAATTATTTTATTCTATTTTATTTTTAAATGGTTGTTATTAAATTGGAAAATGAGATTTTGAAAAGAAAAAAAAATTAAAATAAAAAAGTTAACTGCAAAATTAGGAAATTGGGCAAAAACAAAAAGGTCCCTTTTTCATCTATACATATAATAAAATTGTAACTAATTCGAATCTGTACATTTAAATATTTTTTGGAAAATCTAATTGAAATAGACATTATTATCGATATAGAGTCCGAATCTATAGTTTTTAGAATTTTTGTCTGTCTGTCTGTCTGTTACCGCATCACGAGAAAACCACTGGACAGATTTTGATGAAATTTGGTATGATGATAGCTGGTTATCCGGGTCAACATATAGGATACTTTTTACCGCGGGAAAATATCTCGTTTCTGAGAAAAAAATACTAAAACTGCATTGTAAGAGTATACTAATATGTAAAACCTAAGAATTTGGTTTTTATTTTTGTCATATGAACGCGGGCGGAGCCGCGGGTAATGCTAGTTTTTTATATAAATTTTGTACAGACAAAAGATCATACACAACATTGTAATAAAGCAGTATTAACAGTTAGTATAAATAAATAATAAATTATAGAACTGGTATTAATTTCCAAAGAGATCGAACAATCTAATTAAAATATGATAATGAGGAGAAATTTTATTTAAAAAACTCGTTTTACTATCTGGTCCCGTAGAGTCCGTAGAATCCGGTACTCTGCGGGTACTCTTTATTTGTCTATTTGTGAATTGTGACATTATCTATGGAAGCTAGCGTTTCCGCACGGCTATACTCACGTAGTATTTTTTTATTATTCATGTACAATCGCTCCACGCGCTATAGCATAACGTTAGATGACCTGTAAGCTTTTTAAATATATTTTTTACTAGCATTGCCCGCGGCTCGATAGATGACCAAAAAACAAATTCTTAGGTTTTACATATTAGTATACTCTTACATTGCACTTTTTGTATTTTTTCTTAGAAATGAGATATTTTCCCGCGGTAAAAGTATTCTTTATGTTGATCCGACTAACCAGTTATCATCATACCAAATTTCATCAAAATCCCTCCAGTGGTTTCTCCGTGATGCGGTAACAGACAGACAGACAAAAATTCTAAAAACTATAGATTCGAGTTTCGTATCGATAATAAACTCTATTTCAATAAGATTTTTTTTTAAATATTTAATGTACAGATTCGGCCTAGTTACAATTTTATTATATGTATAGAATATAGATTAATTAGTAGTACTATACAAATAAATTCTTTGTATCTTTACAAAACAAATTATAGTAATTCTATATTTTAATTTGTATTTATATAAATTGATAAACACTTGAAATATACTTCAAATCTTAATTAAAGGACACATTGCTTTTTTAATGTGTTTTATAATTGTATGTATCAAGAATTTACACAAAGTACAACGGTAATAATTAACATATTTATCGATTTTTTTACAAAGAAACGAATATAATATACACGTATATAAAATATATATACCTAAAATGATATAACGAAGGAACATTTAGAATATTTAAATAAGGACATAATTCTGTATCTTTAAATTGTCTTTGATTGAGTATAAATATACGTACACAAATCCGTTATCTAAAAAATGCGGCATTGATTTTCAACGCGTTTTCGTATTATTTTCACTTGTATTACTATGAGATCAAAATTTGTTAATCGATTAATATCATCAAAATCAACATATTTATCGTATCGATTTAAAACTTTACAAAGAAGTGGAATCTAAATGACACTACAATAACATCATACAACCAGAGAATAGTGGAACTCTTAAATGACTACATAGTAAAACTTTCCAGTTCTTATCTTTTTCATGTTCAATAAGCAATAGAAAATTCTATATGATTATTACCTACCGAGATATAATTATTATTTTTTTACCTTGGAAATGGTGAACGTCGGGTTAAAAAATAGTGACGTAAACGAGCGAAACCACGGCAAAAAACCTGAGTAAACAATACAAAACCGTCAATCGACTTTTTTTGCTTTACATAATAAACCAGTTACCTGTAACTTTGGATAGCTTTAATAGTATCGTTTAACTTTTGGACGACCGTCTAGTCTCTAGAGAATAGAGATATGGCGGCATATAGCAATTTGAAAAATAATATATATATATATATATATATATATATATATATATATATATATATATATATATATATATATATGGGTGATTCTTCAAAATTTGGTTAACTTGGTGTTAGCAGCAATTTTCACATATTTATATCTATTTTATTGAATATTTGCAACTACTAAGCAATATTATAAAGTTCATGTAATTTGGTCACTCACTTTGATTTATATCACAATATTTTTTATTTCCGAAAATCGCTTCTTTCTACTCCAAATATCAGGCCCTAGCCATGTAAGATCTCCCAAATTTAGCAAGCATTTCATTGTTATTGTAATTCTCTAAATCATATTTGATTTAACTCGACTTAAACACGTTTACTATTACATTATTAACCTAGTAATTGCGATTTTATTTTTAATAACAATAACTTTTATTATGTATATTATTTCAAGTTAAAAAATGTAAGCGTTAAAAAATATCAGTCCCTAGCTATTTGCGAAATTCGAAAATACGCGGCATCTAAGCTTATGGCGTTTTTCAAAACTTACTCAAGCGAAAGCATCGATGTGAAGTTAAAATATAAACACGACCAATGCCGCATCAGCTATTTAGTTTTTACTGCAGTCGCCAACTTTGTTACGGAAACACGTGCTGTGCCAGTCAAACTCTCAGTCCCTAGGTAAGTCGTTTCAAAGATAGTTAATTAATAATTGATGTCATTACTTATTGTAAATTTGAGCTTTGTCTGCCTTGTTATTTTGATCACCTGCTGGTTGTTATGTTTATTTTAAATAATAGGTTATTTTTGATTTTGCTTTGATTCGTCAGTCCCTAGACCGTCAGGCCCTCGTCGTAAAAGTGACTAGGGCCTGATGGCACACCTAGGGACTGACGGTCATACTGCGTGATCCATGGTTTTAATAATAAAATATATGTATTTGTTGTAGAATATGGCACCTAAAAAGAAAACATTACTTTCCAAAGGAGAACTCGCCAAAAAAAAGTGTGAACAGGCAAAGAGACGTTTGGAAAAAATTAAAAAGACCCTATTTTGCTAGCAGAGTACAGAGAAAAAGAACGACATAAATATCCAAGGAAAAAGAAAAAGGACAAAGGAAATGTGTCAAGGACATGACACCGCGTGAGCATAGAAGAACCACGAAACAGAAGACTGAAACGTAAAATGACGAAAAATAAGAAAGCACTTACACCAAAAAGTAAAATTGAAGCCATGGCTAACGAGCCTAATCAAAAAGCTGAATTGATAAATGGCACAGAATTTCAAATAAATAAGAATGATATCGCTGACGTGCCTTACGAAAAATGGTTTAGAATAACTGCCAGTTCCTAACCTAATAGGGTGGAACCGTGTTTCACAAATTTAAGAAACATGTTGTCGCTTACCAAAAGTAGAAAAAATAAATAGTGATGTGATAGTATTTGTGATTAATTAGAGAAAGAGTGATTATTACATTCAAATTATAATTTTGTTACTTAGAAAGCAAATTTTTAAAGTATTGTTAATTATTTAAAGATTTCTAGTTTGTAAGTACTAAACTCAAAGTACAGTTTATAAAAGAAAGCCTATGATTGTAACTTTTCAGTTTACTCAGATTTTATAAATTTTGTTTACTGAAGAGATAAGTAGGTAATAATTAGTTTCACTGATATAAAAAATAGCTTGTCAAGGTAACATAAAATTGATTGTCTACTTCAGTACATTGAATATTTTTGAGTATGATACTAAATTTAAGATTGTAAGAAGACAATTCTACTTGTTATATAAAATATCTTGTATTTTGACTGTTTGTTACAATAATTAATAATAATATGTAAGTTATTTTATTTTGTTAAAGTTAATTTTGTTATAAAAACGTGATTAAGCACATTAACCGTCTTTGGCGTCAGTCCCTATCATGTCTCGTCAGTCCCTAGATAACTGATTTCAAAAAAACTTGAATTTCTCTTAAAATACATTGTAAAGTGACTGGCCCTTTTAGATGCAACAAAGTAAATATTATATCCACAGTATAGAATCAGAAATTTACTGATAACCATCTAAAAATACCTTTGTCAAAATTAGGCCATAAGTTAACCAAATTTTGAAGAACCACCCATATATATATATATATATATATATATATATATATATATATATATATATATATATGTTTTAGTCTGGTAAAGACAAAGGATGCTAGCTTGAACATAATGTTTTCTTTTCAACTGAAAAAATCAAGAACAGTCCTTTTGTTTGCTACACTAGCAAATACTTATATTTTATACTAGCGACTCAACTTCGCTTCGCTCGGGTTCGGTACGTTTTAACGGTAAGTACGGAACAGATAGTCTAAGTATATATTATATATACATAGATACAAAATAAAAATTTCTGAACTTTTCAATTTTCCAGCGGTGTTTTTGGGTTTTCTCTATTTTTTTATACCTAAACCACCCCTGACACACCCCCATCGAAACAAAAAAAAAGAATTATTCAAATCGTCCAGCCGTTATTGAGTTTTAGCGAGACAACGAGCGGCAATTGATTTCTATATAAATAGACTAGGGATGTCAAGGAGGTGGTTTTATCAGAACCGGAGTCAAGAGGTTTTGAAATCGATATATCGGAGTCGAAGATTGCAGCCAAGATCAAAGTCAAAATTAAGCCGCGCTTGACCCAAATACAAAAATCTTAACCGGGCGACAATCTTATCTAGCGATATCATGAAAACGAGCGTGAGGAGACACCTCGGGCAACAACTCGAGACTGTAGACAGTAAGTACGAATGCAGATCGTACTTGGGCAGAGTTCGTGGCCTTTTGTATATTCGATATAACCGATTCTTTAACTGAACCGAAATCGGGAGGTGTAAAATCAATCGGAAGTACCGACCATCGGAATCGGAGTCGAAGCATCGTAACATCCCTATTTTATACTTTCTCCATTATTTATGATGCCATTACAGTTATCTATACAGATAAATAAAATTGAAGTGTCTGTGTGTAATGTCAAAATAGCAGCTTTTTACTAAATGCATATGGATTTAAGCACGGTACATATGTATACCAAAACATTATTTACAATTTTTGTCTGTCTGTCTGTTTGTTCCGGCTAATCTCTGAAATGGCTGGACCGATTTTGACGAGACTTTCACTGACAAATAGCTGATGTAATAAGATGTAACTTAGGCTACCTTTATTTTAGAAAAGAAAATTGGGTCACATGAAAAACATTAAAACCAATTAAAAATTTAATAATATCCAATTCAAATAGGGAAGTTGTATACATACCCTAGAGACAAACCCGAGCAGAGAAAGGGTGAGTCGCTAGTGTAATAATTATCAGGAATGATGTTTTGTGGTTTTGAAAATCAAAGGCACTTATTGAATTGAAAATCTTTTAGATAAAGAATAGAATCAGAATAGACTGTAGGATCTTTATTCACATAAGTATTTTATGTTTTTATAAAAAAAAATTAAAGCTACACTTTACAACCAAAGAGAATATATATTAAAATTCTTACTTATGTTATAAATGTGTGTGTGTGTGTGTGTGTGTGTTTGTCTTTCTTTTATACTGTTATGGTACAGCATAGTATACAAATCTAAAGGTACACAAATTTAGATAAATATTACAGCCATTTAGATTAGTTATAATTCATATATGTTTATTTAATGTAAAGCAGGCAAAGGAATTTATTCCATCCTACTTTTATTTATGTCTTTTATTTCTGTGTTCAAAAGTAATTCTTATTTTATACATATAGTCCATAACATTATTTAATTAACCTAAAAATATAGACCTAGAGTTAAAAATCATAATTGTGCCTTTGTACAAGTTTTAAACCAAAAATAAAATCTAGTGACTGAATCATCTACTTACTTAATATTCTATTTATATCTGGTATGAATGTTAATAAGGTTTCCTTATTTGCATCATAAATTCTATTTATCAAGGTTAAATCAAGAAGATTATTTTCTCTGCACATAGTAAATTTAATTTATGAGTTCACTTTGTTTATGTAGAGAGAACATCTTGAAATACTATTTTATTTACAAAGTGTACCCGTTGCCCATAAATACACTGTTCCTAATAAGTATTTGTTTAGCATAATTAGTGCATTAGAAACTAAGCCAGGTCTTTAAGGCGTTAATATTTAATAACGGCTTGCTACAGTTCAAAAGCCTTTGCCCTACTAAGAATGACTCACTGTAGGTCATGAACAATACGATTATTTGATATATATAAAGCATTTTGTTAATTATTCTAAATGCAATGTCGCCAAAAAATTTGTAAAGCAATACTTACCTAGCCAAATAATCGTTTCCATTCTTATATTTATTCTGCAAAGGAGACCTATCACCCGTTGCGCCGTACACTTTTATAGCTTCATCAGTCTCCTCTTCAAAGGCATCGTCTATTGAAAAACGTTTATCACTATTACCAAACGGTCTTGTCATTTTTAATTATTGTTCCTAAAGTGCTGGATATGTAAAAGAAACATAACAACGCAACGTACGTTTTGTACAAAGACAAAACACAGCTGTCAAATTATTTTATCATATCAACATGCGCCATATTGATTATTGATTACAGTGCGTTTTGAAACTGTTTATTAAAAGGCTCAGGTTTATCGTAATTATTTTAAGTATTTTATAGTTATTACTATTTTTATTATAAAATAAAAAAAGAATTGATTGTATGAAATTTATTGTATAATATTATCAAATTAGTAAATAGACCAATGCTTTTTTAAGTTTGTTTTTTTAACGAAACTATGAACGTCAAACAAAAATAATCTAAAAAAATATGAAATGTTTTAAAATTTAAATGTCAAACTCATGTGGACACTGATTACATGTGTTTTTTTATATTATTTTTAAATGAAAAATCATAAGAATCAAAATGGTTATTAAAGTATGGGCAAACGTTACTCCTTCGTTATCAAAGCCGGTGTTAAATTGTATCGATAAACAGGGTTTTAAGACTTTGACTCCTATACAGGCGGCTGTGATTCCGCTTATATTATCATGTAAAGATGTTGTGGCTGAGGCGGTAACAGGATCCGGTAAAACCTTAGCATTTGTTGTTCCTATGTTAGAGATGTTAATAAAACGAGAAAAAGAGTCCCCTTTGAGGAAAGATTTTGTCTATGCTGTTGTTATTTCTCCTACTAGAGAACTGGCTACTCAGATTCATAAGGTGAGTTCTAATTAATTAAAGTAATATAAATGCTCTGCAGTCTTCTTGTAAATATTACCTTAAAAAATAGTCTGTGGTGCAGTGTTTAATAGAGCACATAATATTGAGTTTTCCTTAAATTTGAACATATTTTGTATTATTGGTGCTTATATCTTTTGCTTTAAGCATCAAATTACCCTAATCATAAGATTATTATTTATTACCATAATACTAAATCATGATGGTTGATATGCAGGTAAATAATAAAAATCAAGTTTCTTACTTTCCATGAAGATTTATATTGATATGAACTGAAATATAATCCTTTTTAATTAATTTTAGGTAATTCAACAATTTCTAGAAGAACCAGAACTAAAGCACATAACTTTATCTTTACTTGTTGGAGGAAGGCCTATAGAAGTTGATGCAGAGAGCATGCAGAAAGGTGCTCACATAGTTGTGTGTACTCCAGGTAGATTTCAAGATTTATTGGCCGAGAGAAAACATCTTAATTTACCAGGAAGGCTTAAAGATTTGGTAAATTAGCATAATTATAGATTTATTATTTAGAGAGTTTATTCAATCTAGTTGAACATTAATACTAGGCTGTATTTGTGGTATCTATCATTACAGCTCGACTAATACTAAATAAAGTTTTTTCTGGTGGAAAGCAATGAACAATTAAGTGCTAGTATGTTTTCTATCGACTTTATAAGTAATGTTAAATAATAATAAGAAAATTATCTACTTTTTAGGATTTTTTAGTACTAGATGAAGCTGACCGCTTATTAGATTTGGGTTTTACTGAAACTCTCACAACCATTCTGCAATATTTGCCTAGGCAGAGACGCACTGGACTATTTTCTGCGACACAAACTAAGGAACTCCAAGATTTAGTCAGAGCAGGCTTAAGAAACCCTGTTTTAATTAGTGTTAAGGAAAAGTCATCCATTAGCACACCACTAGCATTGGAAAATTACTATGTAATTGTAGAACCACAACACAAATTCCTATTTTTACTTAATTTTATTAGAAATCGTAAAATCTTAAAAGGACTGTTCTTTCTACCAACTTGTGCATGTGTGGATTACTGGGCGGATGTTTTACCGGTTTTTGTGCCTGATTTAAAAATATTTTCAATACATGGCAAGATGAAGCATAAGCGGGGTAAAATTTTAGAAAAGTTTAGAGCTGCTGAGAGCACTATTTTACTGTGCACAGACTTGTTGGCAAGGTGAGTGTTGTAACTATTTATATCCAGTTTATTCATATATTGCCAATGAAAATACATAAAAAGTTATTTCACTTTGTTCATCTGTTCTATTATTGAAACTATTAAGCTGTTGTTGAAAACTAAGCCAGCGTATTAAAAGTTGGATAAAAGTTGCTAGACTATTCTGTGGTGTGTGTATATTATATACAAATAAGATAAGAGAAGATATTTGTGATAAATGGCCTCACTGGTCCAGTGGTTGTTGTATATGATGTACGGCTCCTGAGGAGCTTTAAGTTCTGGAATTGAGTTCCAAGTCATGGTATTTTCAGTCAATATAATTCAATATCCACAGGAGTCTTCCCACAAAACTTTATGAATAAATGGAATAGAGAGTCCAGATGCCTGCATGTCATACACCACATTTGAATATCATAGTCTTATTCAAATATGAACTCAAATATGAGTATGTAGTACTTAGCCAAAAAACAAGTTTTTTACTAAAATATTCTGCTTCCAGAGGTCTGGACATTCCAGAAGTAGAGTGGGTGCTTCAATGGGAGCCCCCCACTAGCCCTGCGGCCCTGGTGCACAGGGTTGGGAGGACGGCCCGCGGCGGGGCGGCAGGGTGCTCCCTACTCCCACTGCTGCCTACGGAAGACAGCTATGTTCAGTTTATAAAGGCCAACCAAAAAGTGGAGTTGAAGGACTGGAGGGAGTCCACTGATGATATTAAGATTAGTCAGAAGTTGAAGGAGAAGGTGAGTGAGAGGGTTTAATTATATTTTACAAATTTAACTTTTTTTTTAAATTCAGAGCCTTAAGTTAGCTTTCTTAAGTCCAAACATTGTTCAGTAACAAGAGACTGACAGATTGATGTAATGTCTCCCATGGTTTAGATTAATAGCCAGGGCCTAGGAAAGTATATCTACTTTTTATCGAGGTATGTAAATAAGTTGGAATACTAGTACATACAGAACAGGATTTAGAAGAGGCAACTGGGGCCGCCGCCCATATGAGCTTTGCCCATATGGCCGACTGTAGAAACTGAGTGTTTTAATTAAGTAAATATTATGTTCCTGTAAATTGGGTAAACTATAAAAACAAATGAAAGCCAATATAATTTCTTTACTTTCTTTCAATATTATTAGGCATAATATCCACTCTCATAATTGCTTTGGGACATGACAATCCGGACATGAGTGTATTGTTATCCATAAATCTAGGTATAGCAAGCGCAGGACAACAAATATTATCTATTAAACTATAAATGTTATCTAGATACTTACGGTAACCTATCACCTATGTGATACTCCAGGTCACATTCTATTTGTATGCTAAATTTCATCTAAATCCATCCATTTCTTGGTGAAGGAGTAACAAACACACACATACAAATTTTCACATTTATAATATAGTCTCAATTAAAATATAACTTGCGACCTTTTTGGTTTTTTTCGCGGGATTTCTTTTGACTTTTGGTTCCCGACGTTTCAAATGCTTTACAGCAATTCTGGTCTTGAGAGATACATTCAAAACGTCGGGAAACAAAAATCCAAATAAATTCACGAAATAATCCGAAAAGATAGTTTTATTTGAAATATAATACGCGACTTAACTTTGCTTAATTTGGGTGGCTCCCAAAGTGCTTAGCAGAAATCTTTGATCTTCTAGAATTATCTTCATCTAGAGTCGAGATGAAACTCCAGAGTATAATTTCAACTCAAAGGACTAAAACATACATACACACGCTCATATAAGCTTTCATATTTATAATCTGTTAAACTTTAATTTTTTTATCCTAGGTCCTAACATTGCTTCACGACCAACAAAAAAAGGACAGAGCAGTGTTAGACAAAGGACAGAGAGCCTTTGTCTCTCACATACGAGCATATTCCAAACACGAGTGCAATATACTGCTGCAGTTAAAAGAACTACCTTTAGGCCATATAGCTACCAGCTATGGCCTATTAAAACTCCCAATCATGCCAGAAATTAAAGAAGAACATAAAAAGCAATTTGTTGGGCCAACAGATAAAATAGATTTTAACAGTATACCATATAAGAACAAACAGAAGGAAACTAGCAGGTTACAGAAGTTAGAAGAATATAAGAAGACTGGGATGTGGCCGTCCAAGAAGAAAAAGAAAATGGTAATATGTTATATAATTTCAGTATACCTAACTAAATATTCAAAAAATTTGAAAATGTTAGTAATTTGGTCAAATTTAGGATTTAGGAACAAACCGCTTTAGATCAAAATAATACAACCTAACGACAGAGTACTGCATCATATTTTATTGTTGGTCAAAAAGAAAAACATTATTTTGTTTGTACATATATATGTTTTTATGTTTCGTTCAGTACAGATTTCTCCGATATGAGATATTTTCCCGCAGTAAAAAGTCCTATATGTTGAATCGGATTACCAGCGATCATCATACCAAATTTCATCAAAATCTGTCCAGTGGTTTTCTCGTGATGCGTTCCCAGACATCCATAAAAATTCATAAAACTATAGATTCGGTCTTTATATCTATAACAATAACTATTTCAATAAGATTTTCTAAAAAATATTTATTGTACAGATTCAACTCAGAATTTTATTATATGTATAGGTTAACTATTTTGTACCTACACTGGGTTTCTGGTAGAGATTTCCTATAGAGATAAATATATCCTTTGTACACAATGTATCTGTTTTTTGTGTATATATATATATATATATATATATATATATATATATATATATATATAAATAAACACTATTGTGGTAGGTACATATATAAATACATCAACATGACATTTTATTTCTAGGTCAAAACTCAACCGTGGGAGCAAGCAAGTAAGAATAAGCTAGAGAAGAAAGAAAAAAGGAAGAAGAGAAAAGAGTTGAAACAGAAGCATCAAGAAGTAGGTAAAAAGGGGAAGAAGCGAAAAGCGGTGACGCAAGAAGAGCTAGACGAGTTGGCAGCAGATGTCGCGTTGATAAAGAAATTAAAAAAGAGGAAAATCTCTAGTGAACAGTTTGATCAAGCATTTGATGTAGATAAATAAATATTTATGACTGTTGATAACTTTTTAAATGACCTAACTTTTTTTTCAATGTTGGGAAATACATTTACACATATTGCCTATTGACAAAATACAAGTGGTTACGTGGGACTCATCAGTTAGAAAAGCCAGTATTACCCACTAAAACTCAACGGAACCTCCCCCGTCTAAATGGGGCGTCGCAGGATCGCTTACGCACTCGACTACGACGCCCCGACGGCAGGTCTGCCGAAGCTTACCACCACAACCACGGGGTTGCTCCAGCGGTCCCTCTGCTATCAGAGAAGTACCAGGAGCAACCCGCTTGGTACACCACAACCCAATAGTGTAGGCCTCCTCCCAGCGAGTTCCTTGACTTCGCGCCCGGCTGGATTTCCGGACGCTAATGAGCCCCCCAACACGACACGCTGAACGGGAAACGGGGAAGGGAATGAGAGAAGGGAATACGTTCGTTTGGGGGGGGGGGGTTGTTGGGGGAATAACCTAACCCTAAAATATCCCAAGGTAGTTTTTTTTGACTTATGAAGTGTCATGTGTCAGACTTATGTATGAACACATAAATGAAACAAAGCCATTAGCAAGAGAATTGAATTGAATTAAATGAAACAATTGTCCACAAGGAAATCGATTAATCGGCGTCCATGTTCACTCAAATATATTTTTTTAAGTTTTAGTAAAACCTAATAAAGATATATAGTATGCAACACTGTAACAGTGTTACATACATATTTTGTCATATTTTATGGCGTGAATAATATGGCCTTGTTTAGCGGTATATGTCAAGGTTGGCAATATTACATCTTTCCTTTGGTTGCTCCATCGGTTTGGTCTTCTGTAGTGCACATACATTATGAAAATAGCTTTGATATTTTCAAACATAAATCTTAATTCAGGAACCAAACTTCCTTATATTCAAAAAATTAAAAGTAGTTTAAGTTATAGAAAACCATATGTGTTTCCAACAAACAAATACACTTTCGTAAAAATGGGGAAAATAATACCAGCAATGAAAATAGTAAAATAGACATTTATTTCTGCTCAACTTTCATAATTGCAATATTTAATCTGAGTATTAACAACAAGGCACTTATACCTATTACATATCATTACAAATTCCAATAATCGTATTATAATCGATATTTTTCATAATTCCTACAATTATTGCTGGCCATAATTTATATTGTAGATTAAAAAACATCTGCAATTCCATAATTACAATTGGCATATGTTATCTATGATAGAGATCTAGTTTTTTTAATCTATGTTCTTTAAGTTCAGTTTTAGCACTTTCACTTAGCACCAGTTTGTATGATAATCCTTATTAAAATAACAACAATTCAAAACCTACATATTATTTAATCAAAGTTGAAATGACAATCTGCACAAAAAATAGAAACCAGTAATAATTACAATAAGAGACAATTTTAATAAACAAATATTACATTACATTATCATATTACAGAAATTTAAAAAGAAAATTAATTATCACCAATACTAGTTACGCACCATATTTGTTTTAACATGTGAATCGATTTCAAATCGATTATACAAAAGCAAAACTCTTCTTTCCCATCGTTGCTATATTGTGCGCTATTATTTTACTATTTTCAATTTTGACCACGGGTTTTCTAAAAACTGCTTATATTTACACGACTCGTTGTCTGTCCGCGTGCACGGACAGACAGTCATTTTATTTAGTACAAAAGCGACAGGCTTCGTTCGAATACATTAAACAATACTTCAAATTGCAATATTTATAAACGTCGCAATTACAAGAACGAAGGTCCGCCAAATTGAGCATTTTATTGATTTGGCACTTACTTTTACTTAAACGCGACGGTTCGAATAAATATTGTCACATTAAAAAAAGTTAACTAAATAGCTCGATACATTATTGTCGAATCGATTAACAATAAGTACACAATAGCTCGTTATTCCTGCGTTTACATACACGGTTAGACGAAAAGAAAAATAAAATACAAAAACGAAGCTTCACATACAAAATACAAAAAATAATTTACACAAAACCCTCGAAGGTAAAGCAATTCATACAATCTAATAACATACACTGCCTTGTCATGATCTTAAAAATAGAACATCTAAAATTACGCCATCTTAAAATTAGAAAAAAAAAGAATCATCGTAATAATACTATTTATTTAAACTATAATACTTGCTGCCTGAAGAGAGACAGCATAACTTAACCTGTCAAGTGTCAATTTCATGTGACGTGACTAGCTGTCAAAACCACCGAGCTATGATTGCAGCGTATAGGTCCAAATTGTATAAAAAAGTTTTTACTGACTGCAAAATCATAACTGTGTGTTTTTTTAAATAAACTAATGTAAAAATGGCCAAAATTGTCGAGATATTTATAAGAGTACGTTAATGTTAAATTGACCAGTGTTTTCACTACGGACATAAAGTCGTGTTATGCTTAATTAAACGAATGAGCCACGTTTGTCTATTTTTTAACTGTCAAATGAAAAAAAAATGACGTAGAACACGACACGTCCATCCAAGTCTATGAATGCCGCCCATTGAGCGATATACGTATATCTAACTGGGTATAAATAAACGGATGTAGGTTAGTAATAACATTGAAATCGAGCCAGTTATTTAGAAGCGATAAATATTTAAAGTAAAGCACCAAGTTACTGGACTCTTTAAAACCTAATCGCGAGCAAAAACATAATTATCTGTTGCTTATATAAGGTGGTTTCTAACTGAATAAAACAATTTATTTAAAATTATTGCAAAAGAATTTTCATTACAAGATTAGGATATAATAAGACGAACATGACGCACGATAACTTTTAAATAAGTTGCTTTAGAATAAAACTGTTACTTATTACAAAATTCACATTTTTAATTAATCAGGTGCAAGAAATTATATTTTATCTGTAGTCACCTTGACTCATATTTAATAATTACATTTTAATAATATAAAATGTGAAATAAATAACTATAATATATTGCTTTAGTAATTAATAACTAGTAAGAAACAGTACATAGCAATGCTTATTTTAGAATTTATTTTAACATACAGTGCTACAAGGATCATTTGGCACGTGGCCGAAATGAGAACTAACACCGCCATTTTGTAAAGCGTCACTTTTGAGAGAAGTTGGAGTTGATGTTTGTTATGGATATTAAGTGCTTTTACTTTAATAAAAATATCTCAAAATATGATATGGTGTTAGAGAGGTTAGGAAGTTTTTTTTATAAAAGAAAAACTCTAATTTCACACCCACGCCCTCATGTCAATGTCACCTAAGTACAAATGATCCTTGTAATTGGTGTATGCACACTTACATGGTATCAAAACGTCAAATTCGAGAACAAGTCAAAGGGGAAGGTTTTTTTTTAATTGTGTTTCCATATTTTTTTTTAAGTATGCATACACTCTCGTAAAGATCATGAATGTTTAGACCATTTCCATAGAAATTTATAATCATCCTCTTAGAAATGACTAAATGCAATAATTGTACACCAATACATAAGGCCGATTTGTGACGAAACTGTCCATAAGGCACAATGTTGCTATTATTTATTTACAATATAATAAATATTTTTCCATACAAGGATTCAAGAAATTCATATACGGGTGGTTGAAAATTTTACTCTAATTATCGTCATGCTTAAACATATTTCTTTTAATAAATTATCACGTATAATTATTTTTTATAAAAAAAATATTGTCAACTTTCTTACATATAGATAATTTATGACAGTTTCGATTAGTCGGCTTATTGATAGTGCATAACAATGCCACATGCTAGAATTTTCAGTAGAAAATACTCCAAGTAATTACGCGCGCCTTTCCAGGCAAATATCATTTAAACTTAAGCTATAAAAATGCCAAAAAGCATTAGTTTTGTTATTGAATATATTATATCAAATGAGTTTTTATATAATCTAGATTTTAAAACTTTTATTAAATTATATGTACTATGACGTTGGTATACCGTTAAAAATAGCATGTGGCATGTACAGTTAGCAGCACAAGTCAATATTTTGGGTCCAAATGTAAAATAAGCTCAAATTGAAGATCGTCTCCCCTTCATTTATAAAGACATAATATGTAAATAGCAAAGTTTGGATCACCACATTTTCAGTGCTATTCTATATAACTGTTTATGAACCAATTGTTTAGCAGATTAAATGTAATATTTATAATTAAAAAAAAATTAAAACTATTGATGCTGAAATTGTGCAAGAGTCATTAACAAAAATCCAAAATTCAAAACCGACAGAATGGAACATAAACAAAAAAAACCAAAGACAATACTTTCTAAGATAAACGCAAATATTTAATATTTCAAATAAAACTATTTCTTTCGGGCTTTATCGCGATTTTATTTTAATTATTGGAGAGACTCTCATGATTTCTGTAAAGCATTCAAAACATCAGTGACCAAAAACTAAAAAAAAAACCGTGAATTAACCAGAACAAAAAACAGTTTTATTTAAAATACCACAGCCGAATTTTAATTTCAGAATAAATTAACATAATAAACTATTTTTATCTGTATCAAGATCAGAATTCAAAAAAAAAGGAACCAATGAGCAAAAAACAAGAGCTGATCTACAAAACAATTGGCACAATAGAATTTCAAACCTCATCTGGCGCCATGGCGTCGTCGTGGTTGTTCGGCGAGGGCGCGGGGGGTCCGGCGGGGGGCGCCGGGGGCCCGGCGGGGGGCGAGGGGGCCGGCGGCGCGGGCGCGGGGGGCCCGGGGGGCGCCAGGCCCGCCTTGACCGTGGCCTCGAGGGCGCGGATGCGGTTCTCCTGTTTCACTATGACTGATTTTAGCTTGCGGATCTCCTCTACTAGATCGGAGAGCTGCTTTTCCTGCAAATGTTTGGTTGTGGTGTTTAAGTTAATAATTATTATAATGTGGTTATTTTATATAACTTTATAATTTTTTAACTTTAGAATATTATTTTTAATTTTACATATTTATAATAAGCTTAATCCATACACTTTTTAAGTTGATTTTAAATGTCGGACTTTTAACAGTAACACTGCTACTAGATAATGCTGCCACTGCATTAAGGTTGCAGTTTAACTACTTTAAAATAATCAATGTTTATATTAACTATAGATGATGACATAAATGATGTTGGTCTAGAGGCACAGCTATCCGCAGGGGTGTTGCAGTGAGTGCGAAAGCGATCCTGCACGCCCCATTGCACTGCGGCGAAGGGTTCCGCTGTGGGTTTTAGTGAGTAGGAGTCTCACAGTACCCTGCCCATGACGGCGGCAGGGTCCCCATGATGGGTTTCCACAGCGAAAACAAAAAAAAAAGAGGCACAGCTATGCCTTTGACATTGCCACACTGCATGAACAGTCACTCATTTGTTTATAGCTATTTTAAGTAAAAAAAAGGAAAAAATAAATAAATTAACATATGTTGTTTATATGTGTATCTAAATGTATGATTATATATCAATACGTGCGTATATGCATGTTTTTGTATAAGTGTGCGTGTCTGTATGTACGTGTCCATATAGACATGCACACTTATTGTTAGACATATATGCGTGTGCGTCGATACGTACATATATGTATATTCATGTATTTATGTGTGTGTTTATACGCGTATTGTGTATGTGTGTGTGTGCGATACTCACGACCATAGCAGTGAAGGCCGGCGGCGGCGTCGCCGAGGCCGGCGTGGTCGCCTGCGAGTCGCGCTGCGCGGGCGTCGGCGACCGCTCGGCGTCGCGGTCGCGGTCGCCGCGGTCGCGGTCGCGGTCGCGCGGCGTGGCGAGCGCGTTGCGCTTGGTGACCTGCAGCTGCGTGGCGCGCCCCGCCACGTACCCGCCCTGTACAAGCAGCGCGCGCTCCTGCAGTTCGGTTAGGTATCACCTAGCCTATAGCATCTGTCTTTGTTTCTGTTGGCTTTGGGGGATGGTGGCATCCGTCACACCAACCGGGGGCGGGGGCGCGTTGGTTTTGCTAATTTACTATTTACTTTAGTTTTTTTAATTACGCTATTTTTTTGAATTTAGTGTATATTTAATGTTGGATTTTTTTTTATAATTACTGGACTTTGTTTTTTTTTAAAAGTAATCACAATTTACGTAACTAAAATTAACTCTTTGAACTATAATTAGATGAAACGTAAAAAGATTGAATAATAAATTACTCTTAATGAAAAAAAATATAAAATTAAAAAAAAAGTCTCAAAATGAATTATCAAGCAAACAATCAAAGATCAAAGTTAGTCAGTTGAAGTATAAAGTAGATTATAACACATAAAACACACTGCAAAGTTATGATTGTTAGAGAGAAGCCAACAGAAACATTCATCGCGACAAATGCTAAGTATATAATATATGTACATATGTATGTATGACACATACATACACTCGGATTTATGTTACAAGCCAAACCCAATTATATGAATAAGCATAAATATTAAAACCAATTGGTCAACCTACTTTATTGGGGATTTTTTTTAGTCTGTGATAACGTTATTTTATAACATTGAATACTGCCTAAAGTATAAAATAAAGAATCCACAGACGATAAAATATTTACTTTTCATCAGATGTTAGTTTCAATAACCAAAAAGAAAATAAAATCTAGCAAAAAATGTTTTTTACTGAAAAAAATGTAAAATATCTTATTTCTTTTAAGCTTTCTCAGTACTTAAATTGGGTTTGCTTATAAGCATATGTTATAACTTATACATCAAATAAACAATATATAATATGATATCTATTCACACTTTTTAATGAAAAATAAATCAACCTCATACTAACCTACATTTTCTTGTTAATATATAGGAAAAAATCATGCTCACAATATTAAAAAAGTAAAAAAATATTACCAAATAAATATAACAGATTATGAAAAGCACAATTGTATTACAGAAAAACACATATTATAATTGAAAACCAAAAAAAGTCACAAAAGAAAAAATATATAAAACATTATACTGTTACCTGTCAGTATAAACAATTAAAATAAAAAAAATAATAATAATGTGAAAGGTGTAAAAGGACAAGAGGTTAAGGATAATTCGGTTTAATATTTAATAAATACTTTAATGCCTATAAATCATTTGATTTTTAATTAAAAAAATATTCTAGCTTCACTTCTATGCAATCAAAATTTGGATATTGCCATATACTTCTAATTGTCATATCGATTTCAGTAAAATCTCATCAAATATCTTGGTGGATGGTCGAGTTTAAATTCAAAGAAAAACCGTGTAATTAATGGAACGGTCATATACGAACATGTGTTTTTATGTCAATAGTTAAGTGAGAATCACAGATATAGAGAATGGACTTACTTTATCACTACATAGTATAAAACAAAGTCGCTTTCTCTGTCCCTATATCCCTATGTATGCTTAAATCTTTAAAACTACGCATCGGATTTTTATGCGGTTTTTTTTAATAGATAGAGTGATTCAAGAGGAAGGTTTTAGTATATAATTTGTTAAGTTTTTGTATACATTGGCTAAAATATAACGATATTTGTTGGAGGTGTTGGAAAAAATAAGCAGGATGGGAGCTTTCAACGAAAACGCTGCCTTAAACCTTTTGAGATATAACAAAAATAATGTATGGTGGAATTGTGTATCTTATATAGGTCTACAGAAAAGTCCGCGATGGCATATATCTATCTCTTAAGGATAGCATACTATATCCATTTTAATTTAAAACGTACCTAGAGACGAACCCGAGCGAAGCGAGGGTGAGTTGCTAGTTTATAGTTTTTCCCTTTCTAGAGTGTGGTCAAATTCATGGGGGTATTGCTCAGTACATCCTCTAGGTCTATAGTGTCAACAGGTAAAACCGACACGACGCTAGTTTTTATTCTATCGCACGATTTTGTTCAAAAAGGTTCAATATCCTCAAACATACGATTACTCAACAATTTCAGAAAAATAATTAAAGGAAGGCGATTTTGCCTAATATATTTAAAAAATATAATTGTCATTTTAATCCCACCATGGAAATATTCTTTCACCTATCACACACATCCTATCCTATCCGCCCTACGTGCCGCAGGGGACGGTGGGAGCGGGGGGTACCTTGAGCGACATGGTGCAGGGCTCGGCGTCGTCGCCAGCGAGCCACTCGTCCGCCGTGAGCGAGGCCTCGTCGCTAAGCGTGTCGGGGTAGAGGTCCTCCTGGAACAGCTCCGACTTGCGCGGCACCGTCATAGAGACCACCTGCGATATGTTTCTTTATTATTTTAGACCAGCTACTCACCCTCGCTTCGCTCGGTTACGTCCCTGGGTACATTTTAATTTTTTTGAGCGGAACCCTAATTCTTTTACTGAAATAAAAGTAGCCTAAGTTACTCCTTATAACATCAACTACCTGCCAGTGAAAGTCCGGTCAAAATCAGTCCAGCCGTTTCGGAGATTAGCCGGAACAAACAGACAGACGGACAAAAATTAAAAAAAATGTGTCTTTCTTATAAATACCGTATAGTTTAATTCCATATGCATTTAGTAAAAAGTTGTTATTTTGACATTACAAACAGACACTTCAATTTTATTTATCTGTAAAGATGTGAAACATCTATTAGCTAACCTTGGTAGTAAAACCAACTCGTATGCCGTGACGGCAGACTTTATGACGTTGTCGACTACTTTTATACTATACACGCTCCATTGTAAAACATACTCTCTACGTACGTACGTCTCTATTACACAAATACTTAGATATTTTCTATTCTATTTATGAACATATATTCTGTAAATAAAGAAAATAAACTGATTTCATTAACGAAACTATATATTTTTCTTTATTTCACTCCATACTTCGTTATAGGTATTATTAATTATGAATTCCAATATTAACATAGATGTTTCACATCTGCCGGACGTCCCGTGACATCTAAATTATTTTTTAATACTGTTGAGTTTCTCTTGGGTTCTTGTCAGCAGGACTGCCTTTGTATGGTTGTGTATGTATAAATAAAGTTTTCATTCATTCATTCATTCACCTAGTTCGCCTCAATTTCCTCACTATCACGTTGCATACCTGACAGAGGCCCGAGTTATTCAGGCGGTAGAACTTGGCGATCTCGCACGTCGCCACGTCGCAGCCACGCTTCGGCATCATGCCGATGCCTGTTGACCAATAAATAGTGATACTATAATATTAATATGTATATATTTATAGTCTATACTTATACTTATAATATAAAGAGGAAAGATGTTTAATTTGTTTGTTTGTAGCGAATAAGCTCCGAAACTACAGAACCGATTTAGATGAAATTTGGTAAGAAGATAGTTTGAGACAGGACATATGATAGTTTTTATCCTGGTAATAAACAAAATTTAAAAATTAAATATTTAGTTTAAATAAAAAAAAAGGAATTTATAAACGCATCGACGATACTCTTATTATTATCGAGAGTCTGCGCCGACAAACGTTTTTGGCCGTTTTATTTTAATTTCCAACGTTTCAAATGCTTTTCATCAATCAGAAAGTTTTCAGATCTAAGAGAGTACTCGTATTAGTTAGTTTAGTTACTGAGTTTGCTGTTAAGATATTTTCAGTAGTAGCAAAAAGTTGGAAAGTTGGCGATGTTCTACGCCCGTGCCTCGGCTCTCACGTGTCGCATTGGAATTGAGTATCAGGTATAGAGAGTGCACTTGTGCCTGTACTATAATATCTCCCGCGCAGCTAGTCTCAGTGTGACTTGCGGTCGCGGTCAAAATCGAGTAGCTTTAGTTAATTACCTCTCTGTGGATCGGGCGTTTGAAACGTGTTGATGTAGTGCACGAACGGCGGCTCCGGAGTTACCTACGAAAAATATATATACAAAATCAGAAAAAAACTTTACAAAATTGGTCAAAATTTATTGGTAGATATTCATACATACAAGAAACTTGTTTTTTTTTAAATATCGTGAAAGTAGTATATTAAATATAAGTATTACTAAAATAAACTAAAAAGTACTAAATACACACCAAGTTTAAAATAGTAGGATAAACGAAAAATAAATATAAAAGTAACTCTGTCTGTTACCTTTCACGCTTAAACTACTGCTGCAATGCTAGTTCGTGGTCAAACAACATTCAGTTCGATACACTGTACTATGACAATTATTCTCACCAGACTAATTTTGAACAATATATATTATATATATATATATATATATATATATATATATATATATATATATATATATATATATATATAACCAATGAAGGCAATCACCATCTTTCATCACCACCTAATGGCAATTGCAATAGTCGCTCCCCTTGAAGTATGATATACCAATGGTCACTGATCTCAAAGTATCATATAATAATTTTAAGTGGTCAGTGGTCACTCACATCAAAATGCCGTTTTTTTTTAACGTTGGGAAATGTATTTACGTACGAGGTGTAAGAAGCCAGTACTACCCACTAAATCCCAACAAAACTTTCCCCCGTCCTAATGGGGCGTCGCAGGATCGCTTACGCATTCAACTACGACGCCCCGACGGTAGGTCTGCCGAAGCAGACCACAACACCCACGGGGTTTCTCCAAGGTCCACTCTGCTATCAGAGAAGTACCAGGAGCAACCCGCATGGTACACCGCCCTCCGAAGAGGGCCACCTCCCACCGCCCACCGAAGCGGGCCACCTCCCTGTGCGTTTCTTGGCTTCGCGCCCGGCTGTATTGCCGGGCACTACCGAGTCCCCCCCACCACGACAAGGTGAACTCACGTCACGGGGTCATATCAAAGTACCGTATACCAAGGATGAGTGACCTCAAAGTAGCGTATGACGGAGTCGCCCTTCCCGCAGAGGTAGACGAGGTTGGTGTCGGGGTCGTAGAGCGGGAACATGACGCCGTTGCTGGTGTCGATCTCCACCGTGACAATGGGCTCGGCCAGCGCGTCCGGCGTGCGCAGCGTGTACTGCCGCTCCGACATGCGGCTGAACCTGCACACAAACATACATACTATATACATACAATATAGGGACATTCCACGCTAAATCTTACGGTTTAGAAAAAAAAAATTTTTTTTGATATTCTTAATATTTAGGTATTTTTAGTACCTCTCAAAAGAGGCTTCCTGGTAAATTTTGAGTTTTCTTTAATCACTGAATCAAAAATACCGAATTTTCAAAAATAAACAAAAAAAGAGCGGTTTTGATATTGAGCGAGAGAGAGAGAGAGAGAGAGAGAAAGAAAAAAGTCCTTCAAAAGTTGTCTATTTACTTACTACTTCTACTTATCATTATTCATTTCGATAATAATAATATTCTTCAATGCTTACTTCGTATTTATGCAAAGCTTTTGTCAAAACTTTAAATTTTCTTAAACTATCGCTAGCTTTTTATGAGAAAATTTTAAATTAAAACAATAATTATTTTTTTATTAAAAAGGCCAATTTTTACCAAACAGATTATACCTGATAGATCCCTTGTTCTCCCTTCTCTTTTGTAATATGTATATACAAAAACACCCCAACGCCCAAACACAAAAAAAAAACTATAAAGATCAATTATAATTAATATATATGTTATTATGTGCATACATTCTAGACCGTCTTACCCAGTAGTAAAAACAAGGCCATGTTTCAAGAAGATAGCTCGAGACGCTTTGCTTCCCTCGTGAGCGATCGCTTCTGACTCCACCTCTCCTTTGCGCGGGTCGATTATTCTAGAACATTCATTGATGAAATCAATTAAAGGATTACCAGAAAAGCCTTGAAACCTCGCTAAACTATATAGCATAAACTAAAATCATTGTTGCTTAAACTTTGTTGCAAGATATGTACACAATAAGCGTCTCAAAAATGTCCTAAAAAAGAAGTGCACAATTCGAAATCGAATTGCTCTTTTTTCAAATCTCTTCTGTTCTCAAATTTCTTTTGTTACTTTATGTGGTGTGCATAAGTTCGAGTTTGTGTTTAGTACTTTCGATTTTTGGTTTGATTTAACGTCACATGTCGACGCCACTTTTGGAAGGGATATTTATTAGGAAATCTGTATCTATGTTATAATATATCAATGTGCTTAATACAATAACTAATGCTCTTAATTAAAACCTAGCTTGATCTCATAGACGTAGTATTTGAGTTCACTAAAAATATTGTATAATACACATTTACCTATATGAAGACGAAAAAGATTTACGCGAATATTTGACATTTTTGACAGACTGTCTGTAAAAAGTATATAATGCCTTTGAGACGTTTAAAACCTTTTGTAAAGCATTCGAAACGTCGGGAACCAAAAATCAAAATAAATCCGCAAAATAATCCAAACAAAAAGAAGATATTTTCATTTAAAAGATGAGAAAGATCATCTTGATGTCTAGTTGTTACCTGATCTTTTTATCCCTACACGTGGTCAGCAGCTTAGATCCCGTCCAGTTCCAGCACGCCGAGTAGATGAGGTCCGGGTGGCAGTCCAGGCTGATGAGCACTTCGCCGGTGCCCACGTTCCATATCGCTATCTGTTGGTATAAGTGGTTATGTACGATCTTGGATATTCCTGTGGATACCATAATCATTGATCTTTATGATTCTTTGAAATAATAATTATTTTTTCTTGTTAATGGCTTCTATGCGTGCCAATTGAACACGGATTACTTCGCCAATGCCATGTAGAATGGAAAAGTCAAATAATAATCATTCTATACGTCCAAATTTACATATAGGTAGGTACTACTTGGGTCTGTAGTTCAAAAAAAATAACAACATAATGATTGGTGGATATACATTTTAGTTTAGCCAAGACCGTCATTGAAAACCTGCACCGCCAAATTATAATTAATTAGCTAATTAGCTTTAATACTAAATGGACAAGCTTTAACAACATCTATCTAGAAGAATATTTAAGAAGTAAAATACGTGAAATTACAAGAAGCTACACATATCATTATTATACATAAATAATTAACTTAACAACATTTAAAAGGCCAACCGATTTTCTCGCCAGCTCTTCTAAGCTGAGCTGCCTTTAATGCCAGTTAAGAATTTCTTACAGATTGATCACAACACACTGATTTTAATAATCCTTACTAATATTATAAATGTGAAAGTTTAGATGTTTGGATGTTTGTTACTCAATGACGTCAGAACGGCTAAACGGATTTAGATGAAATTTTACACAGAGATAGATTATAGTCTGGAATAGCACACAGACTTTTTGTCCCGGAAAAATTTTGGTTCCCGTCGGATAGATTTGTTTTTGTTTTTCTTGAGCCGCTAGTTATAAAAAAAAAGATAAAATCAATTCAAGTTAGAATATTCTATTTTCATTCGACCATCACTCACCTGGTTGTCGGACCCAGCCGTCAGTAGAACATTCTGTGCAGTGGGGTGCCACAGCACGAGGCCCACTCGTCGCTGATGGTACACTAGGTCCACCACCGGCTCTGTTAGCGTCCTGGACAGACCGCCGTCTGGGATTTGCCATACCTGGAGTATATATATTTATATTGCAGTTTTTTAAGTTTGCTTATAAAGTTTAGACACAACAAAACAAGAAGAATACGAGAGATTAAATCAATATACATAACATTTAGTATTAAAATAATCATAAATATTCCCAAATAACATCCATATCTAAATAAAAATAATGTTATATCTAAATATTACATTATTGGCAAAATCAATTTTTATATCGTAGTTGGCGAAACAAATCGTTATCTAAAAGCTTCATCTATAAGATGCTGAAACTATACCTACGTAAGTATATAATGAGCCGCCATTTCAAATCACGCTCTTTATCTGCACGAGTTATACGAGTATTTGTATGTTTACCTTCACTACACAATCTTCAGAACCGCTAGCTATAACATTGTCATTGTGGGGACACCACGCGATGTCCAGCACCGGGCCCTTGTGTCCGCCCACTAGTGGGTGATCGGCTGGGATGCGCCCGACCTGAGAAATAAAATCACTTAAACTACTCTAATATATATAATCTATCAAGTAGATTATTATTTAACACTTCTGACGGCTTCGTCTTTTTCGTTTCATTAATTATGTCGAAGCAACATCTTTTAGAAAAATATTAATTTACATACAAATCAACTCTCTTATCCTCTTATTTCTCGTAGAGCTATATAAGCCTTAGGAATTTTAAATTAAATCGTTTTGATTGGTTAGCAATGGTTATATTTAAAAAAAAATACAGACTAACGTAGAGCCAATGGCGTATCTAGCCTTTTTGGGCCCTAATGCAAAAAAATGGAAGTGAGAGCAAAGGGGGGCCTTTGCTTATTATAAAAACGAATTTGGACTACCAATGCAAAAAAATATGTGAAATAATATGTGAAAATTTAGGACACTTTTCTTGCGTTGTTTTTTTAAACTTCTATAAGGGCCGACCTCAAAATTTTTTTTTTAAATAACAGAATCATTTGTGGTCAGCTGGGGCCCCCTTAAATCAGGGGCCCCATGCGACCGCATTGGTTGCATTGGCATAGCAACACCACTGCGTAGAACATTGATTCCAAATTATAATATAATCGTGCCAGAAATATTATTTCCTTAAGCTTACTAAGTTACACGTAAAAACTCCAGACACAATTAAATTACTTCATAATTAGTAATATGAATATCATGAATTTATAACAACTTTGGAAGCACAAATATGTAGAACAAGGTTTAACAAGCATAATATTATACGGTTACATATTATACGGTTAGGTAGTTTTAATTTAAAAATTCTTAGAATTAATAAAAACAGTAATTTCCATTACGTACTGTCATCATATAGTTTTAAGAGTTTAATTATACGGTCGAAAGCTGTATAGGTATCACTATACATATATGTATAGTAGATAATAATCAGTATACAGATATGAAATATAACTAGTTTTAAGTCGGGACTCTGCTTGCAGATGGATCGATACAAAGTAGCTTTTGGTTAATAATTCAGGATAATATCAAGATGTCATGCAGGCCATAATATATCCATAATCCAACATGAAAATGTAGTAAATAAACACAGCGTGTATGTAACGCGCTCGCTCGCACGCACGCACGCACGCGCGCACGCTTTTACGCACGCACGCACGTACCTACACAAACTTTCTAGACATATAATAATTCTATGCCTATATTTAAATATGATACCCTTCGCAATGTTTATATTACGGAAGTTATTTTTAAATAGACCTAACCTTCCTAATGCCTCCTTAAAATCCGTCTTTAAATGAATAAAAATAGTATGAAAATTCGTACAGAATTTTCCGAGATTTTAGTCATTATGGGGACACCACGCAATGAAACAAACAAACACACACTCAGCCCGGCGAGGGTTTCATATTTGTAATATATAGTGCTGATTGATATCATTAGTTAAAACTTAAAATTATTTCTAATTATTCTACCTAATAGCACAGGTACCAGACTGTAAACAGAAAATCTAATGTACTGTTGTGCAAAATTACTCTTCGATGATCAATTAGATACTCAAGAGTTTTAAGCCTTATGATTTGTTTCATATATACCTACATACTTTACTTCTTTTTCTCTTATTACCATTTGTTTGTGTTAATTAAAAGCAACAGTCCGAGACTAACTAAAATTAGGCGTTGCATCGTTAACAAATTGTGTGAAACACTTGCTCTGGTGGAGTACAGTGAAGTCGTTGAAATTATTATAACTAATTATCTAATTGAAATGTATTTCTTTTAGCCGATTAAAAAAGGAAAGAGGTATTCATTGGTGTTTATATTTTTGATGTGTATATATATTTTTACTATGTTTCTCACTTACTTTATACATAGAGTTTTACATCAAAATTTTAAAAATAATAAATAAACCGATTGCGTAAAAAATCCGAAACTAATTTACCCCTTTTCATAATTTTTAAGGGTAGGTATTACTTAGATTCGCAATAATTTGTCGCTGTTACCCCTATACACCATAGGTATGTACTATTTTTTATTGGTACAAAAAAAGTTACAAGTTTGTAAAGAAAAAATATATTTTAATATTTAATTGTTAATTTTCAACCGACTTCAAAAAGGAGGAGGTTCTCAATTCGACTGTATGTTTTTTTTTTTTTTTTTTATGTTTGTTACCTCAAAACTCCGTCATTTATTAACCGATTTGGACAATTTTTGTTTTGTTTGAAAGGGTATACTTCCAGATTGGTCCCATTTAAATTTCAAAAAAAAATACCACCCCTAAGGGTAGAAAAACAACTAATGATGAATTTAACCTACTTCTAATTGTCATATTGACTTGAAACTTTGCAAGTATTTCTATTTCCGTTGATAGTATAGTGGTCCGGTGTTGTTGACCTGATCTGATGGCAAGGCCAGAAGGTGGATAGGTGGAACTCTTCAACGGCTAATAGTAGATACTTTGAGTTTGGGCTTATTTTGTTTGATTTGACAAGCCTAACACGTTAGAATCCTTACTTTGCTACTACTGTCTACACTAAAAAGGGAAAAATAAAAACTTTTTAACAAAAAAATAAAAACCGACTTCAAACAAAAGCACTGAAAAGTAAAAAATAACTGATTGGTAGTTTTCATTTACTATACATACCTAATCAAATATTTTCGAAGTCGGTGTGCTTTGGCTAAGTAATTAAAGCCTACCTATTAAATACATACCTAATCAAATATTTTCGAAATCGGTGCCAGCCCATACAAAGCAAAGCACACCGACTTCGAAAATATTTGATTAGGTATGTATAGTAAATGAAAACTACCAATCAGTTATTTTTTACTTTTCAGTGCTTTTGTTTGAAGTCGGTTTTTATTTTTTTGTTAAAAAGTTTTTATTGTGTTTTAACAAAAATCAGTAATTTTTTAGATTTTTGTGTCTCAGGGAAAATGAGTAGGTAGGTACTTTTGATTTTTGTTTCTGTCTGTCTCTGGAAATGTGTAACACTCGAGTAAGGTTAGATAGCTTTCATCATCATTCATCTCATCTTCGCGAAGGATACTATTGCGCACAAGTGTATGCGCAAGCACAGGTACACTCACTCTTCCATCAATCCCATAAACTGATGATAATTATTGGTAGGATAGGTAAGGATAGGATAGATCCTTCATTTCATATAACGTCCTCTCCGAAATACCAGCCCTAGCATCGAGGCCTCAGCCCGATACATTAAGATTTGCAGTCACTAAAGTCTACAATTCTAGACCAACGTAAAACCCCAATTACGATAACAAAAAAACCTTGGCAACGTTAACTCTAAAAGATTACCTACAAACATCAGTTTTCTCTTAAGACCTACTTGTGTTAATAAACGTGTAATATAATTCATTAAGCGTGACCCAAATAAACTGAATATATTCTTGGCAGGGACCGAGGCGCTGAGGTGAGAAAGGCATTACTTTCACTGAAATATTTCGATTGCGCCGCTTTCAAAGTCACTTTCGTTCGGAATCATTTGTTTTTGTAAAGGTTAAAAATCGCATCAATCACGTTCTCGTTGTAAAATCTACAAGAAACAGTACAATACAACGTGATGATAAGCTTGTAGTTGATACCAATGTTTTACCGTGGTATGGTTTTCTTGTTAATTCGCTATTTTGCATGTTCCGTACAAATTTTGCAAACGATTTAAAATTGACTGGACGGTTAAACTACCGACTAAACTAGAATTGAATGACAAAAAACTATACAGACGAAACAAGTCTAAAATGCAGTAAATAATAAATTTAAAATCGGCTGAAAAATTACCATAAATTACTATATGAAACCGTTTTTAACTTTAACTTTTATCATTTTCCTGATTTACGTATGTATGTTTGTACGTGCTATACATATGTATTATATGTATTATATGTATTATACTCTTATATATATCTAATATTTATATATTATATAATATATATTATACTCTATACTCGTACATTATGTCGTTGTATATTCTCCCGATTGACAAATATTTCAAATTACAAACCGCTAACATAAGTAGAGGATTAATCAAAACGCATTAAATTATACGAGTTCTGAAAATAACACTTTGTTCAGACCGTAGACAGATATATAACTATATCCGAACTCATATACTTTAAACACATAAAACATTGATATCATAAAACATAGTCATAATGAACAGAACATTTAATTATACAGATAAATAAAATTGAAGTGTCTGTTTGTAATATCAAAATAACACCTTTTTACTGATGAAATGCATATGAAAGTATATACGTAACTTATAACAAAAAAACAAAATTTAATTTTTTTTTGTCTTCTGTTTGTTCCGGCTAATCTCCGAAACGACTGGGTCGATTTTGAAGTGACTTTCACTGCCAGATAGCTGATATTATGAGGAGTAACTTAGTACTTACTACTTTGATTAAAGAAAAAGGATAAATCCGCGCAAACAAATTAAAATGGGGACCTAGGGACGCACCCGAGAGAAGCAAGATCCACGATCCACCTGACGGTAAGTGGCTATCGTCACTCATAAACATTTACAACCTAAAAGGATTTGCGAATGCGTACCGGCCTTTAAGGGCTTATTAGAGTTGCCAAATCAATATTTCAACTCAATTTTATTTTTACTACACGCAATATCGCGATAACAAGTAATGCGACTAATTGATTCTTCCATTCAAAGATGGGCAATTTAAAAATATGAGAATCTCACTAGTATTTATTCTTTTTAAGCCCGTAGTAAGTCTGTGATACTCCCTCAACGACCGCGGACACGCCGGAGTTACAGTTAACAATAGATTTCTTAGAAAATTTAATTAAATTTTTAGAAATTTACCTGGAGGGGCTATTTATATTTACTCTATAAACTACAATAGACAGATAACGAATAGTTGTTAGGTACTTGTTATATTTGAATTAGGCTCATTGGCAAAAGTTAGTAAACATCGAGATAAATCTAGTTATTGTTAGCCGAGCACAGGTGACCTGAAATCTAACTATGTATAATCTATATTCAACTCGAC